ATCTGTTGTGAGCAGACCTTCACAGCTCCCTATGGACAATAGGAGGAATAGTTGGACACAAGGGGAGTCTACTATTGACAACATGACTACCATGTTCAGTCCTAATTTTCCTCTTTCACAAGACATTTTCTCTTCATCAACCTCTTTAGTGTCATCCAGTTCTTCAGCTTCTTTATCAAGAGTTGTTGATTACCCACAGCTGTCCTACACAAATGTTTTCACCAGGCCTGATTTCACAGGTTCACAATTTATAGCTGGTATGAACATTCCACCACAACTGCCTATGGATGATAGACAGTTGAGTCATGGTGTTCCCTTGGTGCAAGACAGCTCAATTGCATCAGCTTGTTTTTCAACCAGTAGCCCCTTTTCAACTTTGTCAAGAGTTAATGATTATTCTCAGTCATTTCCCATGGGCTTTATCCCAAGAGTTGACTTCAGGGACACTCACGTGACATCTGGTGTGAACCTATCACCACAGCTACCTATGGACAACAGGAGGGAAAGTCAGACAGCAGGGGAGTCAACTGTCAACACTTCAACTGCAATATTCAGACCTTTGAATGTACCAGCAATGTCAGCTTTTCAATCATCAGGAGCATTAAGTACTCTGGCACAATCAACATACCCAATGCCCAGAGGGTCTGCAGCTTCTTTACCTGCAAATGGGGTGAGAATTTTTACTTTTGCATGTTGTATTTTGATGTCAAATAATCTAGCATGTTACCAGTTGTTTTGTACCCATGCACTGTTATTTCATACCCAATCATTTTGTACCCTCCTAGGTCGATTCATACCAAGTCAGTTGAGTTTCCATAGAGTGTGTTTTCCATTGTTACATATGATTAATTAAAAGTAAGGTGGGTTTCTCGTTTTAAATAGCAATGTTACCCGCACTAAATAGGTTTTGTACATGTGGCATCCATTTTTGACATGAAACCACCAAAGCGAGAAAAATCACACTTACACTAGTTGTTATAATTGTGAAAATAGTCACAGGTATAAACAACACACTGTTTTATTAAAGATATCACACTTATCTTGTGCTAGTCAATAATATTATTCACAACAGAATTTTCTTTTTATCTTACTCGCTTGACTCCACTAACTTGTTGTACACAACAAGTGACATCTGTTCAGACACTTGCATGTGAGGTATTTCAAATGAATGTTAATTGGGATGGGTACAAATCAACCTGTAGTTTGGTTATGAACCAACTCAAACTGGGTAAAAATCCACTGAATTTTGGTGAGGAATGATCTTAGGTACAAAACCACTTGATGCCAAGTAGCATGAGTAGGGTTTTTAACATTAAATGTCTTCTCAGTAGTTTTACAGAATGAGTAATTTTAACAACATCCCACCTTACACTCTTGCCGTTTTTAATCTGAGTCTGAGACAAATCCAAATCACCTCTTCCATGAAGTTGAGTGAACAAACCACAGTAGTTTATTTACTCTTTGTTTCCTCTTATTTATTTGCTCTTTGAATAACTTCCTTTCTTTCTTTAAACTTGTTGGTTATTTTCCACATTTGCCTTCAGTTTGGTCTCAGTTTGATCTTCTTCTGAGTTTGATCGTGGTTTTCATTTCTGCTTGTCTTTTAGCAGTTTCCAGATGGTTGTTTCTTTTCCTTTTCAGAGTTCTCCTCTAATTACATTCCCCATTAGTATTTACTGGGTAGTATTTACTTATTTATCTGTTTTACAATTCATGCTTCATTAGCATTGCATGCTTATCAGAATTAAATCACTCACATGACTGGCTTATGGAGCTGAGTCCACTGACCATCAATTATCAATAGCTTTGATAGACCTAGCTCTAATGAGACAGTGTGCCTAAGAGAAGAGGAATTTCAAATGAATAAATGGAATGCAACTTTAAAATTACTTTGCACACATTTGAATTATTCTGTGATGCTGATGTACAGTGCAACACCACCAACTCAGACTCCCAAGGGAAACAAAAAACAGTAGAAGTTAAATGTGGTTTGTGTCCTGTTGATAATTAATTTAAGGAATCAGGTTTTAATTTACCTGTCCTGCACAATCAACAGTCATTTTCATACATTTAGACTGTTTTATATGAGCTTTTTTACAAGTTTAGTAAAGCTATATGTATTTCATTTTCACAAATGTTATCACATTCAGCTATGTTCTGACAATTTGCCATTAATCAACCAACATTTTTACTTAAAGTTTGAATTATTAGGGTGAATTTGTGGAAAGGGAAAGTCTAATTTGTTTGAGTTTATTTAGAGATCGAGTCAAGTGAGTTTGAGTTAGCTGCTAGTAAATGAGTGGAAAAGTGGGGTCAAACCCAATAGAGGACTTATGTCCTATTGTTTTTGCTCCAATACTGCCTTGTACAAATCATTAAATGAACAAATAAATAAACCCAAGGGAAATTGCATCTTGTTTAAGTTAGTGGGGGTTTGAGTTAACCAGGTTAAGGTAAAAAGGGTTTTTCTGACAGTGCATCTGTTTCTTTTGTTTCTAGGCTTGTTATTCAAATTTTCCTTCACTCAGACCTTGGCCATTACATGCAGTCCAAACCGCCTCAAGCAGTGTTTCATTGTCAGTCGGTAAGTTACTCTGACCTAAATATGGGAGTGGGGAGATGTGAGCCTGAGACTGTTCACTTATAACCATACTGACACCAGTGTATTTTAAGACACAATAGACAAGCTAGAATAGCATCTTGTGAATTTAGTATTACATTTCACATCTGTGCTGTGAAGAAATGCATTTATGATTAACCCTTTACATTGCACTTTTAAAATTCTCAAATCTGATCGGTTCACTGCATTACAGCAGTGCTTTCATTATTATGGCATTCTTAAATCTTTGTTTATCTCTAGTTTGAACATTTTTTTGATTTGTTAATTGTACTGCCTTTTTTAATCACATCAAGTGATATTCTGCTTTTTCGCTTTTGTTCTAAAGCTTTAATTGATGAAGTCTACTATCTTTTGTTTTGCTTTCACTTAATTTGTTAATATGGGAAACTTCAAAATGTTGCCCTTATTTTCCTCTGAACTCTTCAACAGCCATGTACTTTTACAATATGATGCTTTCCATCAAATTTATAACCATAAGCAAAAATATCTTAATTAGGGTAATTTCATTGAAGGGAGAGAAAATTGATGCAAGTTACTCCATAGCATGGTAGTATCCCATTTTTCCCTTCTATATATCAGATCTTCTTATGGTTTACTTTGTCCCAAGGTGTAAGTTAAATTACGTAACAGATGATATCCTCTTTTTCATAGAAGAAAGAGAGAGAAGAATGTCAGCTGGCTGCAGTTACCAGAATCCTAAACAACTCAAAGTTACATCTGTGGACTTACCAGGTTTATTGTTAGACATATTGACTATGATTGAATCCTAATACAATATATAGTTTTAATTATTATACATGTAATTATGTTGTTGAATTGGAGATTCAAGTTTATCAGAAATTTTTTGAAAGAGATTTAATTTTAGGAGATGATAAGTGGTTATAAAAAAATTAGTCAAATGGAAATTTGTCAAAGTGAAGTTGATGTAGATGAAAGTTAACCCTGATGTTCTTTGTGATGTATGTTGCTTAGTGTAGTCCTTTTACAGAACAGTCAAGTAGAGGATTATAGGTGGTGTGGGTGCGTGGGTGTGTGTATGTATGTGTTTACATACAGTATCATTATTTTTCATTGGTGTCATGGTAGCAGCACAGGGCTTGGGATACATGATTTAATTAATTATCCAAACATTAAAGCTTTATTGAGTAGCACAGGTGATGCTACGTTGGAGCATCTCGAATGCGCTCCTGGCTTAAGTCATGTGTTGGGTTATCTTATTATCTATTGCTGTCACTTATTACAGGGGAATAAAAGGGGTAAGTTTCTAAAGAAACTGTGGTGCTGCGTCGGTGGGAGAGTATAACAGGTAATTTAGTGTTAACAACTGAGTTGAAAACGTAAATTGGCCACCGTAAAGAGTAAAAAAGCTGACGTTTCTAGCGTTAGCCCAATCGCTCTGGCGAAGGGTGAACGCTCGAAACGTCAGCTTTTTTACTCTCTACGGTGGCCAATTTACGTTTTCAACTCAGTTGTTAACACTGAATTACCTACATATTACAGGGGTCAGTTACTTAAATCTGACCAGTAGGATTTTATTTCAAAATTCTTTGTCATCTTTGCTTGCGGTGGTCCCGTGCACCAATTGGCGCAATTGAACTAAGTAGGAAATGTTTGTTTCCTATGATGCGATCTGTTCATCTTTTATTTTTTTTCCTTTCTTAATAAAACGAGGTACACCAAAAAATGAGGAACTACAGAAATTAGGCAAAAAAATTGGTGTCAAGTGGGATACGCTTGGGCGTCGCCTGGGAGTCGAGGAGGCAGAACTAGAGAATATAGAACAAAGACACAAGGATTTGGAGAAGAGAGGATACGCCATGTTAATGCACTGGAAACAGAAGAATGGTTCTGAGGCAACTTATCAAATTTTGATTGCTGCATTACAGGATGACCGCGTGCAGCGCAAAGACTTAGCAGAAGAAATTTGTAACAATCATGGTAATTATTTACAACAACATCGATTAATTAGAAATAATTGACAGAAATTACTTATTCTATGACAGGGAATTTTGTATCAAGCAGACGCTGACCAAAGTTTTGGATTTGTTTCCCCAAATTTACTGTAAACCGAACCTCTTTTAAGAGGACACCTCTATTAAGAGGAGGCATGCAGACTCTAAAATTAAGTCCATCTATGCCCTAAAACAAGACAGTTAAAATATTTTAATATTAGTGAAAAAATGGTGAGTTGGGGGGGGGGAAGGGGGGTATGGTAATGGTTGTTTAATTGTCCATTAACAGTTCTGACGTCATGCCTTAAGCCTGAGACCCAGCTGTTAACAGTTAGTCTTAAATTGTACATGCCATTGAAATGTATCATGAATAAACATTCATCATTTTAATAATTGTTTTTTAACGGGATTTTTTTTTCTTGAAACAGACATACCAGACGTACCCAGAAATCATTTTGATGTGAAAGTCTGCCGGCGTAAACTTGCAGAGCATTACAAAAGAACCGCCACGGTGCCAACCTCTGTGTGGTCCAAAAAATGTGCCGTGAATATTCACGAGATCTACACTCGATTGTCCTGGGTGAAAGAGGAACAAACCCCAACTGGGTCATCACGGGTTGGAATGGATCACTACACTGATGTGCTCGCTGAAAACAAGAACGGATTGCCTTCAAACAGAATACTCGTGCAAGGGCAGACTGGAATTGGGAAGAGCACGTTTGTGAAGAAACTGGCTATGGACTGGGCTGAACTTGACGAAAACAGGTTGACAAATGAACAGAGAGCTATCCTGAAGAAGTTCGAGCTTGCTGTTATTATTGATCTCAAAAAGGTATCTAAATACCAAAACCTCAGAGATATCATAAGCGCCTCCCATATTTTTGCCGATGAGGACACAGCCATGAAGGACGGTCTGCTGAGTTACATCACCCACAACCAAGACAAAGTTCTCCTCGTTTTTGATGGATACGACGAATATCGTTTCGGAAGCAACTCTGAAATCTTTGAGATATTCAAAGGAAACAAGCTGAGAAACTGTTGTGTGTTGATAACAACTCGAATTTCCAGAGCGGATGAGCTGAAAGAGTTTAAGGACGTGCATGCTGAGATCACTGGGTTCAGTGGAGAGGACAGCCACTCCTTTATGGTCAGAATGCTTGGTGAAAAAAGACAAGCGAACGCATTACGGTATCATCTTTGCAAGCGAAACCTGTACGATCTGGCGAGAGTTCCGCTACTTCTCCTGTTCTTTTGCACTTTGTGGAAAAAAGGAAGCGCACAGAGCTTTCCTGACTCCAAAACAACATTGTACATTGAAATCGTTCAGTACGTTTTGAATCATAATGCAGCGAAATGTTCTCCTGCTAACTTTCGCAAAGTTGAAGATTTCAAAGAGATTCTGGCTAAAATTGGAAAGGTGGCGTTAGAATGTCTTTTGAAGGACGATCATGTATTCGAGTATGATCAACTGTCCCATGCCAACCGGATTTGCGAAGAAAGTCAGATTATAGGCTTACTTCAAGTCAGTGAGTACTCAGAGAATCTTCGACCAGCAGGGATGGTATCGTTTATTCACAAGAGCATACAAGAGTTCTTAGCAGCGTGGTATATTAACTACAGATGTGTCCCTGAAGGAAATCTCGGTGAAATTAATGACCGCACCCGCACTTTGGACGACTGTAGATCCTTAGAAAATGTTTTTCAATTTGTTTGCGGTTTGTCTAATGATGGAGCAGTGAAAGTTTTTGAACTTTTGAAATCGGTTAGAATTTCTGACTCAGAACTGGATTTGTCAAAAATGATACCCGATGGGACCGACGAGCCACTGTGTGACATTACATGGAAGCGCCAGTGTTTTATTACCCTGGTAAATAGTTCATTTGGTGAAGTTCAAACCAAAACTGAAGTCTTAAGACATTATTTAAATTGCACTGATGGGATCATCTTTGTTGAGAGAGAATCAGTTCGTGAAATTATACCCGATTGGAGAATTTTAAATGGAATTACTGTTAATGGTGTGGTTTTGTTTGAAAACAAATTTGTTCGTCAAAAGGCGACGAAAATATACCGGTCGATGTTGTTTCTCGATTGTTTGGACGTTCCCCTTAGGATGACTGAGAATTCAGTGGTTGTCGCAGTCGGGAAATTTTTAAGAAAGTTTAAAGCTATCATTTGTGGTTCGTCTGTGCCGTGTAATTTCACGTGCATTCTTCATTACCATAACTGCCAGGTGTTTTTTAACATCACTCATTTGTACCTGCATTGTGATGACCATGCTGACTTACTCACCAACTTGACTTCCACTCCATCCCACTCCACAAGTTCGTCATCAGAGGGATTCTGTTTGAAATATCTAAGCATTCTTCACATTTATACTGATGTCAACGAGCAAACGATGAAATGTCTTGTTACCATTTTTAGAGATTGTAAGAATTTAAAAAATATTTTATTTTCGAGTGTAACTGAACGTACTTTTGAACTTCTTCAATATGTACCAAACCCCCGTACGTGTCGGGTAGAGCTTGGTAATTCCCTATCATTTCCTTTAGGCGAGCTGTCACTGACGTCAGCCGACGTAACGAAGCTCGCTGGTTTGTTACCACAGTTTAAGAATCTCGTCTCCCTTTACCTTGACTTGGATGACTGTTGTGCTGAAGCAGTAAACAAACTGGTTTTTAGTATCACGCACAAGACTCTTGAGGAACTGGGACTGTCTGGCATTATACTGACTCCCGTCACAGCCGCCGCGCTTGGTCGGTCAATTTCTGAAATGTCGTCCTTACGTGAGCTCTTGATATCTGGGCCGAGAAGAGGGTTTCTAGAAACAAACAAGATTGAGGCATCACCAACAGGATTTGACAGAACATCTCTGGTTTCACAATTATTTACGTTCAACACAGGAGGTTGTCGTTTCTTGCCCAGTTTGCATACTTTACGTCTTGAGCATTTAAATTTGAATGAATGGGGCTTACGTGAGCTGTTGGATAATTATAAGTTCTTCTCAGAGCTGAGATACTTATGCCTACGTGGCAATCCACTGGGTGACGAGCACACGGTTCACTCTATGGTGAGAAAAGCACTGCCTCGGGTTGATGTTTATTATTGGGATGAAACCAAGTTCATTCACTTAGTGAAGGACACAGACGTTTGCACTGACAGAAGGAATGATTGTCTTTAGTATTGCGTCACCTAAGTATCACGTCTGCCACTTACATTGCCTGACGTCATGGAATGTCAATTGTAACAACAGGCAATGGAACTTGTCTCCAGCTACTTGTTAGATGACTCAAGTTTACATTTTATTTTAGGTTAGAATCAAAAAATATTAATTAATGTTTTAATTTTAACGGAGAAAGGTTTGAATGTATGAAAAACTTTCAATAGGTAATTAAAAATTCATGGAATTGGATCAGCCTTTCCAAGTTTTATTCATTTTTATTTTGGTACGTGAGAGGAGCGCATAATGTCGAGCGCGCGGAGCGAGAGTCCTTGCGGAGCACAAAAAACGAAGAGAATAATGTTCTCGTCTAAGACTTAATAAAAAGACGGTTTCTCGACTTCTCCTCAAGTCATTACCATATCTTTATAACATTTTCCCTCACGTCACTACGAAATTGCGTGTCAAGTTTAAATCAATACGAGTCTGCTTCAGATAAGCTTAAATTCGTTTTGTCTCCATAATTAGTGAAGGCAAATATGTAAACAAGAGCAGTTTTTATATTTAAAAAAAAAGTATTTTCAATGCGATCATAGCATGCAGATACGTGGTCGGCTCTGAAAACAACGCTCTAAACGATGAACTAAGACAAAGTGGATGGTCTGTGAACAGGTCACCGTAGAATATTTTCTTTTAAAATTTACGATAAAAAAATAACATTTCATTGCATCCTACCTAAAGTCTAAAATTGATAGATATTGATGTAGAACAGTTTCTTCCATGATCAAAATAGTATAGTTCCTTAAATTGGCATGTCAGTTGTCCATAGTTTACTTCATACTACTGTCATCATCAGGGAACACACAGAGGGAGAGTTTTTCTGAAAAAAAAAAAAAGGACACTTATCCTGCTAAGCATACCTTCACCCCCCTGCCTTGTTGGCTTAAGGTGATGGGTTTGCCTTAAGCCTACCCCCTCCCTCCCCTACTCAGAAATTTGCCAATTGACTTAATGCACGTGAAGAGTGCTTATAACTATTAATAAAGCGTGTAAGTTTCTAAAGAAACCAAGGTGCTGTGTTGGGGTCGAGGGGGAGTATAACAAGATAATTTTAGTTTCACCAACTGAGTTGATAATGTAAATTGGCTTTCGTAAAGAGTTTCTAAAGCTGTTTTTTGTTTTTCTGAAGCCTCTCAGCAGGCCAGCCTTAAAAATCTGATTGGCTGTAATGAGTAAAGCTTTAAACCACAGTCAAAAAAGTTAAGTAAGGCTGTAGGTTTGTCTGCTCGTAGTCAAAACCTTGGGTACTGTTTCTTCCCATATAGACCTCCCAACCAGTAATTAGCATTTATCTATGCCTGACTGCTTCTTTTGCAAGGCAAAAAGCTCCCCAGAGGACTCTATCAGAGTTTCTTAGGTAACAGCTTTCTTACCAAATTTGTTTGCTATTTTTCTAGAATAAACAAAAACAGCTGTTCTTCAGTAACCCAGCCAAAATATGGGGAGTTATAGGGGTGTACTCCTTGTTGGTATATCCCATGTCCAGTGTAGTATCTAAATTTCTCTTTCATTCCCCACCTGGCATGCATATTTACACCAATACAATATTATTGCTGCTCTTAATATAAAATTTGTGCCACAAATAAAAATTGGGAGGAAATAGTATTCAGTGCAACATCACTTTAAGCACACAAGTACAACTACCATTTTCATTTCATATTAGATGTTTATTACCTTTTCATAATAATAATAATAATAATAATAACGAATTTTTATACAGGATTGAAAAACCCATCAGTGTGTAACACTGTTGTCCTTGGGGTCCTGTCAAAAATAATAAATAAATAAATAAAATAAAATTTAACAAGATATAATCATTGATCTTAAGGTCTAGAAAAGCATACAATAAAATGAAAAAAAAAATTAAAAATTAAATAAAAATACTCTGAAAAGGATACCTATAACCACGTTTAGATAGAATTTAACTAAAATAATCTTGCAATTTGTTCTTAAATTTCAGTCTCGAATCTAACGACCTTAGTTCAGCAGGCAGGTTGTTGAAAGTCTTTGCTCCTTGGTAATAGAAGCTCTTTTTACCAAATTCTAAACGAACTTTGGGTAATTTCACTGATATACCGTTATTCCTAGTGGCCTTAGAATGAACCAGCCTTTCGAAGTAGTTCTTAAAGGGTGTGCAAACATTATTCAGGAGACAGTCGAAAACAAACAGACAGCTTTTACGCTTGATCAAATTGTTCACGGATGGGGGATTAAAAGAACTATTGCCGATAACTTTAAAGCCTCGTCGTTCGATGTTCTTTATCATTTCCTTTCGGTAATCCGGAAAGCTAAGACCAAGTGTTCCGCAATAGGTAAAGATAGGTGCGATCATAGTGTTATAGATCGATTCTGCACACTTTTGGCCGATCAAAGGACGAATTGATCGCAAGAGATTGATTCTGGTTGCAGCTTTTTTATAGATTCGGTCAAAATGTGATGCGAGGTTTAGTGATGAGTCAAGGTGAACACCTAAGTACTTATAGGTAGAGGTATTATTGATGAGTGACCCATTAGCAGAAAGTTTAAGTTCCTTGTCTTGAAGGTTGATTCTTTTAGCTGTTCCAAATAACATAGACTCCGTCTTGTCCTTTTTTAGGTTAATGATCAGTTCGTTGTCTTTAAACCACTCGCACAGGTTATTCATATCCTCGCTAAGGCTTCTCTGTATAGTATCAATATCTTTAGAAGAGGTATAGATGACTGAATCGTCGGCATAAGTGATAATCTTCGAGTGTTGAAGCGGTTTATGTACATCGTTGAAAAAGATAATGAATAAGATAGGACCCAGGATACTTCCCTGAGGAACACCTGTGAGAATGGGTTGAGGTTCTGATAGCACGCCTTTATATTGGACAACTTGTGATCTGCAGAAAAGGTAATCAGTGAACCATGCGAGTTCTGTTCCACGAACTCCGTAAGTTGAAAGCTTGCTCAGGAGGCCAGAGTGACTGATGGTGTCAAACGCCTTGGATAGATCGATGAAAACACAGCCTGTCAGGTTACCATTCTCACCTTCTCTTCTGATAACATCGGTAAGATGAGTAACGGCCAGTTCAGTAGAGCGCATGCGACGGAAGCCGTACTGAAAATGAGAAAGTAGACCATTCTGTTCAAAATGAGCCATCAGCTGCTTAAATACCACTTTCTCCAGGATCTTTGACATTGAAGGAAGTATTGAAATAGGCCTATAATTGTCGATTTCGGCCATTGAACCAGATTTAAAAAGTGGTACAATTTTAGCCGCTTTCCAGTCAGTAGGTACAGACCCTGTTGCGAGAGACAGGTTAATTATATGCGTGAGAGGCTTGGCTATTATATCAGCAGAGTCCTTTAACATTCCAGAAGGAAAGTTGTCAAGGCCAGAGGACTTATTTCTCTTAAGGCTCTTTAATGCATTAAAGACAACCTTTTCCGAGACTGATCTAAACTCAAAGTTCTCTAGCGGCTGCTGGGTGTCTATTGTAAGGGGCCTTTTCCAGACAAAATTGCAAAGAGGGAAGATCTTTCTTTTTAGAGATCGCGCAACATCAGTGAAGAATTTGCAGAACAAATTTGCAATAACCTTTTTGTCGGTTTCTACTGCTTCATTAACGAGAAAAGCTGCTCCTGGTTCCTTTGTAGACTTTGTAGGGTATAGTTTTTTAATAGCTGACCAAAATTTGTTAGGTGAACCCACAGTCTCCTCTAAGAGTTCACGGTGATACCTGCTTTTGCAATTTTTTACCATACCGTTAACTTTGTTTCGTTGGCGCTTGTACGAAGACCAGTCAATTTCACGATTTGTCTTTCTCGCTTTTCTCAAAAGCTGATCTTTGGTATTCATTTCTTGCTTTACCTTCTGTGTAAGCCATGGGCTGAGTTTCCCTTTGATCCTCTTCTTTATAGCTGGCGCATGCTTATCAATACATTCTTTCAGAATGGCTTTCAAAAAAGACCATGCTTCATTAACGCAGGAGGATTTAAAGACAGGTGTGAAACTATTGGACCGTAAATCATTGCAAAAGGATATAGGATCATAATTAGCATAGTTTCGACAGGTGATGGTTCTTGGCTGGAATTTATGGTTATGCAGCTTCCGGACACAACCAATCATATCATGGTCACTTAAGCCGGCGGGAATGACTTTAACACTATAAACATTCTGAGGGCGATTTGTGTAAATCACATCTATCAGTGTTTTTGAATCTTGCGTTACCCTCGTGGGATCCTTGATTAGCTGTTTAAGGCCAAAAGACAATAGCATTGCCTTCAGTTCATTTATAGCATAAAATTATTTTATTTTTAATTGAAAACTAATTTTCATCTCAATCAAATCTCCACTCTAGCCATGAAATACAATTCAGCAATTGCTACAATGAATGCCAGCAAAACTCCAATAATCACTCGCTGAAACAAAAGAAACAATAATGATCAGTTATTTGATTCCAACCAGGTCAGGGATTACTCAGTTCACTGCTCTCTTTTAGCTGAACTGTCAGATTAAAAATCACTTTGAATTCTTTATGTTTGTTGACAAGGGTTCATAGGTTAATTTTAGACTGTTATTGACCAAAAGTTACAACTGAAGAGGTTTTCCAAAGGTTAAGGCCATAACTTTTGGGTCAAAGTTAATCTCAACTTCACAAACATTTCTTACTCTGGCTAGCTTTAACTTGTGCCAAGGGAATTTTTTCAAAACATAAAAGCCCCAATTTCTGAGCACGGAGGATATTTTATGAGTGGCTTTGTGGCTCTGTGAATCTCCACCACTTTTACAGACACATGTTAATAATTGTTTTTATAATAAGTAAATACCACAACAACACAGAAAGCAAAAAATAAGCCTGTTTCTGTTGATAAACCAAGAAATGGTCTGAAATTGAACTCTTGAGGTGTGATTTTGACTTATTCCTTTGGGTACTCAGAGATAAATAGTACTTGCTAATCACTTCCAAACTAGCCAATGGGCATGCGCAAAAAGTATTATTTACCTGTGCGGGGGGCAGGGGGGGTATATTAAAATCTCATAGAATCATAATGGGGGTCCATATTTTTCCCTTAAAACTTGCTTCAGTCTAAGCCTCTCCCTACTCCAGATCTACAGCTGTAAGTATTGTTGCATAACACCTTTAAAAGTTACATACCACAGCAATGGAAGGAAAAGCATACTGTGATGCAATGTAACCAAATGTGAATGTTGCAATTATTGACAACAGGAAGTTGATTATTGAAGACAACTGTTTGCCACCAGAACGAACTGAAAGGAAAAACACGAGTCACAGTTTTAGCATGTGTTGGAGGAAACAAATTGGTCAGAGATATGAATTACTATGAAAAACCCACAAGGAAATAAATAGTGATATCAGCCAAATGTTTGACAGATTTAAGTGATATTGCAGAAAAGAAGACTGAGCTTAAATTACAGCTCACCTGAAAGGATTATTTCTCCAACATGAATTATTTCATTAAATTTTTATCAGTTTCCACCAAAGGACAACCAGAACCAACCAAAATTTGTATCACTCCCAACCTGTGGCTCTTAAATACAGTTTGTAGTGGCACCCAACAAGTATCTGGGAGACATGGGTTTGAATCACATTGAAGCTAAAATTTTTTAAGCCTCTTTTCTGCAATTGCCATAATTGTAGCTCACCAACAAGGCCCATTTCTCCACTTGAGTTTCATCTGTGCATTTAGATGATGTAATTAATTTCAATAAAATTGTCAACACTCACCTTCTTGTCCAAATTGCATTCCATCAGTTTGATGCCACTACAGAGAAAAACAAAGAAAACCAGAGTTAAGAACACACAAGCTCCAAAAAATTCACAATTTCTTAGCAGACCAAAAAGGGCTTGTGAAGAAACAAATGTTACTTTTTGGTACAAAGAATGTTCTATTCTTACATTTGATTTTTAGAATTCCTTTTGGTGTTCAAAACCAATATTTCATAATTGGACATGTGACAGTTATGGTTGCAAACTATGTAACCACCCCCCAAACTGCAAACATTGCAATATTGAAAGTTTCAGCTCTAACCCTTTACACCCTAATATCAGTATGCATATTCTCCATACTGTTCTCTTAACATTTCCTAAGATGCCAACATGGAGAATTTGTCTAACAATCAAGAGTTTATTTAGTGGATGATCAGCTCCTTTATTCTCCTGACCTTAATTTTTGATTCAAGGATGATATGGTGAGGAGAAATTAGATGCCAGTCATTCTTAGGGGTTAAAGGGTTAAATTCAGGTCAGTCTACTCATTTTTGTACCATCCCACCACTCTGCCTCAGACAAAGTAAAATATAATTATTCTCAGGCTACCCTTGGGAAAAAAAAATGCTAACAAAGTCAAGATCTTGGTGGTCTCTTATCAGGAATTTGCCTTTGCTTGGTTCCCCTGTGCCCTAATGTCTCAGCCCTACCAAGTTCACAGTTATTTTATATACTTCTATTAGTTTATGACCTTAAATGACTCCCATAGTGGTAAGATGCAGACACTGATACTAGGTGTCACAAGATGGAGAAAATAACATTATGTTTGAAAGTAAGTTTTCAGTGACTTAAGGTATCACAGAAGGAAAATCACTATTTTCATTCTAACTGAAATAGCATAAAAATTATTTGTGCTATCCCTATAAAATGTGAATTACAAGAACAATCTCTCTAGCTCTCTCAATGAACTAAAGTAAGTATAGACTTTATAATGATTGAGCAATTTCAAAAAAACTCTACAGTGCATCATTGTAAATCAATAATGGATATGTTATCATTAATTAGTTGACGAGAAGTTGACATAATGTGTCATCAATCTTGCTTCTTCCATTTTACTCTCAGGTTTATATCTCATGAAGTAAAAGAGATACAAATATGAAATTTTCAGAAACTAATAGATCTTTATTTCCTTTTTTAGTAGATAAGAAATTTTCAGGAAATTGAAGAGAAAATGATTTTTTTTCCTTCCATGATACCTTAACTGTACATGGAATTGCAAAGGCCTCAAAGCTACTAAAAGGGAAAGTATGCCCCAGAAAAAAGTAACCTTAACCGACGCTCTGGAAAAGTTTGCACATAAAAAATTTACCCTTTACATGTAATGCAACTTGAGACTCCAACTTGTAACACAATCATTCAAAAATTTTGCTTAAAACATGATAGGGGTGGCCAATATTTTGACAACAAGTCACAATCATCTGGGCCTGATATGCTTCAAATGGGAAGGAACTAAAACATTTGTTTCATGATAGTATCTACTCTGGTTGTCACCAGAAAAAAAAACATCATTTGACTCAAGAATATCTTATTGCACAAGTTACCAAGAGCTGGGAAACAATGGAGTTAGATTATCATTTGTTTCAAAGTAATGTTATCAGCTGAACAATCAGGTTACTAAGGAAAATTCAAGGTTAAAGCATCTGTATACAAATTTTTAGTATGTTGAAGGTAATTTACCAACAGCAAAGTTACCCTTTTGATCTCAAAGCCTGACCACTGCCATGTTTCATTTACAGTACTTCTATGAACAAGTGCCCATGAACTGATAAGGGTCCTATCCCAAATAGGTGGCCATGCCATCAGCAATAATGTAAAAAAAGCACCCCTATCAAATAAGCACCCCCCACCTCCTTCACTTTCTTAAATGGTTGATATAGAAGTAAAACCTGTTTCTACTACCACTTTATTTAACACTCGTTTTAGCTTTGCCTACAGCGGAATCAGTACAAGAGAATAATAAGCCCCCCACTCTTTCCAATAAATGCCCCTCCTTTTAATCAAAATTTTGAATAAGCACTCAGGTGATTATTTGAGAAAATATGGTATATACTCTTTCATGTGGTTAAGACAATTATGTTTCTGGAGCGACCTTTTCCCTCAAGCAAGAAAGTTTCAGGATTATGCACTACCTTTTGATCAATATTTGAAACCATTCTTTCATACTCCACTTTTTCTTGTTTTGCTTTTAGTTTCTTAAGACGTGCTACAAGCTCTGGACTCTGAATGAAAAAAAAACTAATGTTATTCACATTAGAAAATTTGGATAGATGTGTACATGTAAAGTAAAATTTACGGTCTGATGAAAAGACAAAGGAGAGAGAGTCAATGGCTAAATTCAAACTGGGCATTTAAGAGAGTTTTCAGTGATTACATTATATTTTATCACCTACCTTTTCTGGTAGTTTTAGTGGCTCTACATAAACTTCACTTCCACAAAGCAACTCGTGTAAATACATATTTGAGCTTGAATCTGGAAAGAAACAAAATTAAATACCCTTAGATAAAAAAAAACAACAACAACAACAACAACAAACAGTCAATCGTTTGTCTCACGATGTAAAAGTCAGGCTATCAATTTTATTGATCGTGACGTTTCGCGATCGACTTCTATACTGCTAATCTTCTAGGATTACTCCTTTTTAAAGAAAGGTCTTTTCCTACCGATGGCTAAGAAAGTAAAATTTATGAACTCTCTGAGTATGAACGGTATCAAGATCATGTTCTAAAGAGCTTATACGTTAACTAAAGTAGCTCGAATTATTTTACCTGAATCATGCTTCTCTCGGACGCATTTCCAAAGTTGCTTCACTAACTTAAACGGAATAGGAACTTTGCAGACCCCTTGCGTGGAATCTTGTTTCTCCAGAGAAACATCTGTATATTGTGATAGTCGTTCGGCGAGATCCTGTGGAATATGATCGTATTTGATGGCATTTACGATGGTGTTTTGGATGTGGCTTGTCAAAACAACATCTACCGCCATACTTGTTTCGTTTGAAAACTGCTGACATACAGTTGGCTCAATTTTGCTTGTGACCGGAAACAATCACCATTCCTCCAATCTCGCCAACTTCCGCGTTTTGAATTGAACTCTCCGCAATATTTAATTTTGCTTAGGCTTTCAAGGGCAGCTAAATGGAGTCAATTACCACGACTTGTCTTATTGATCTTGCCTTTGACTTATCAGTTGATTGGAAAACGCTTGCACGTGTTCTTGGTCTTTCTGAAGAAGTATCAAGAATATGTGATGACTACAAACGGAATGTCTTCGAGCAAGCTTACCGAATGCTGCAAACTTGGAAACGAAGAAACGGATCCCAGGCTACTTATCAAGCCTTAGGTGAAGCACTTTCACACGATGTGGTGTCGCGTAATGATTTGGCACAAAAATACTGTGCGGGAAGAAACAGGAGCTCTTTGGACGAAGGTAAGAGATTGAAATCTTTTCGAAGCTTATTGCACAGCGCTTCAAACAAAAAGAGCGGCGAAATTTACGAAGAACTTCGATTTCTTACAAGTTATTTAATTTCTTTTGAAATAATTGGCTCAGTGATTCTTGATTTTAACACCTGGAAGAATATATCGTGTTTGTTACGTCCTTTAGCAATGACTGAGTCGAAAATGAGACAGTTTTATCGATCATCCATTCGAGTGTGACCGACAACAGCGTTACATCTTTGGTAATCAATCCGACGATTTCTGGGCATTATTATTCAGTTGTTTAAATAACAGACAGACAAACAAACAAAACAAAAGCGCTTTACATATTTGCGCCAGAATCATCAGATTTGTTAGTGTTGGGTCAAACTGATCCTCAATAGTGTGTATACTTTCAACTACATATTGTTACAGTACATTGCAATATTGAATTATTTCGAGGTAAAAGAGGAAACGAAGCCCTCCAAATTCTTCAGGTCACAGGTAGATCATATAACCCATTGAATTTGAGAAAGTGTGCCGTCGGTTATTATTATCACTCGTGTGGTTATTAATCTGTATCGTTCACTATTATTTTCAACGATCAATCTCAGCCTGATTTAACTGATCGCAGAGAGTGTCGTGTCACTTATTACGTGCCGTCTGTGTCCTATCAGTTATCGCCGTGTATAAGTGGTTTTGTGCGATGTAAAGCGATAGTATTCATACCGTAGGGGGGAGGGAGGGGAACTTAAGATAAGTCGTGGCCGGGGTTGTGCTGCTTTATTATTTTATCTCTGACCTTCTTCTGAGCGAAATATGGCCCTTGATTCAATTGTTTTGGGTTTCAGAATATCGACTCGTTCAGCCTCGTATAGCCTTTTCAGACAGAATTAGAAATAGGGTAATTTAGAATTATCAACCGAGTTGATAACGTAAATTGGCCGCCGTAAAGAGTTTAAAAGCGGACGTTTCGAGCGTTAGCAATTCGTCCGAGCGATTGGAGGAATTATGACTTGTGTGTGGGTTTCTATTCAGAAAATGGAGCGACGCTCCGTAATCATCCTGGGCAGCATATGGCAGTTTGCGGCCTTTCCCAACATCTTGGCAGTTCGGAAAACTTAAAACTCTAGAACAAAAGTCAACGAGCGCTTTTCATTCAATTAATTTATTCTTAGAGAGAGATGTTTTTTCGTCTTGTGACGAGCGTGGGACAAAGAAAAAAAAATTTTTTGAGTCAAGTGATTCTGATGATGACTTTCGCTCAGGTTTTCGAAACGTCGGTCACCACTACGGACAACAGTCCTTCTCAGGGCTACACTTACCCGGTCGATCAAACTACACTATTACATGTAACTGAAATGTAGTACAACAGCTTGGCCGTGAAAGGTCTGGGTACGAGACTAGTCCCCTAAGCTCTCCTACACTATAAAGGATCTCAGGGTGAATACCGTCCTGAAAGGTTGTGTGTCTCGACAAAGTTCCTCATTTGCAGTCGTTCGTATTCTTCTCCATCCTTAGCCATCCAGAGAGGATGAGTGGTCTCTCGTAGCCTTGATTTTTTTTATCCCCTCTTTCGTTGGGATTTTCTTTCCACTGATGTGCCATTTTGTCTGGGTTCCTTAGCTTCCAGTTCTGCAAGAAGAGCTACGCCTCATTGTTTCGTTTTTTTTCTCTCTCTCAACGTCTTGCAGGGATCGACCTTAAAGGACTCAAGACCGGCATGGTTACCATCGCTGACATGCTCTCCATTGCCAACAACTTTGGAAAAGAGTGGATGTGGGTCGGCCGACTTCTCGGGCTTGAAGACTCCTTGTTAGACGGCATCAAAGAGGATCTCTCACAAACTTACGAATGTACTTACAAAATGCTCGAGTGGTGGTGTAAGAAAAAAGATTCTGACGCAACTTACGAGTGCCTTGCACGAGCGTTGTTACACAGAACAGTTGGCATGCGGGAAGTTGCTGAAAAATTCTGCGTGGACCACCGAGAAAAAGAAATCGGTATGTTCCAGTTGCTGAATGACATAACAACCCTCAGTCTCAGAGAATATCAGAACACAAGACAAAAAGATTGCTAGAGCCGGTTCAGTTGAGCATATCCATAAGACGCTAAGGAAAAGTAGAACCTTTGCCTTTATACCCAGTGTTAACATCTGTAATGTTTTTTTCTTTAATTTCATGTCAGCCACGTTAAAAAAACGCTAGCTGGAGAAAAAGAAGCTGATCTCTGATCACTTGAGTTTCAAACAGTTCGTTAGCGATTGCAACCACATTTAACGAAGTGGTGATATAGATTGTTTTTGCGGGTGATCATCGGCTAGAGACTATAAACCGGCCAATATTGTCTTGCAAGAGATTATATTCTCTTGCGTCTTGTTATTGTTTTATTGATCGTGTCACTATTTAAAACATTCGGGATTTCCGGGTGTACTTTTACATGAACACTAATACGAAACTATTCCTCCCAAGAGAGCCCCTGATAAAGTCTTAATTGCATGTAGTAGCTTACGTTTTTTCATTACTTAAATCAGCCTCTGCTGCACCTTCTGGTGAAGGAAACACACCAATTGATAAGAAATTGAAGAATTTGACCCTGAATGGTTCTACGGCATGTGAATTCGCGGGAAGCTATACCGAGGCGCCAGGCGCAACAGGAAACAAAAGCTTTCAAGGTAAGCTCAGTCTGAACTCGTGGCTCGGTACATCTCTTTACTTTAGTCACTATTGTTAAAGAAGGCAGTGCAAAGAAGGTTTAAACTGCTGGTGATAGTACAGTGAAGTGGTTAAAAGTTTAATTAGCAGATGAATGATTGAAAAATGGTCTGTTATTGAAACCCAGGACCCAGGTTTGCAGTGGGAGGGAGGGTAGAGTAAGGTAAGCGGAGTTGCTGTTGTTGTTGATGTTTCTCCTCCCCGTATATTTGCTGTCCGCGAAGCAAATATTTCCTTCACCTAAAATTTCGATAATTTTTGGGAATTTTGTTTAGCGATAATTAGTGCCTATCTGAAGTAAGCTGGAAATCTTCGGGGACAATTGTGGAGATGAGAGTAAGGAAATCTCACCCTCAGAGTCAAACGGACAGATAGGAAACACACCCGTCCGCGTGACAGGTGCATAATGTTCTGAACTACAAAGCGAGCGGGTCGGGTTTGACTACTTGATTTGGCTTTTCGAACTTCTTTCTCCCTCTGTGGTAAAGCATTTTATTCTTTCTTGGTCGGCAACTACCACGACGTAGGGTCGAAATGAAAAGGAAAGAGAAAATGTCTTCCCATGGAACAACATTCAGCATGATTCATTTGACCCTCACTGTTAAGTTAGCAAAAGCAAGGAGAAGGAAAACGAGGTTTAGAAATAACTATCAACTGAAAGTATTATACGTTTAACTTATGACCAGGTACCACGCCACCCAGAGTTCCTGAGCCGGCTGATGATTGCATAACTAAGAACGTCATCACCATTCTGCCATACAAAGTGTGGAAAGAATTGGCCATTAAACTAGATCCCGAGCGTCCATTAGGAGGAGATTACAAAGATCTCGCTTGTGAGATGGGATATACTGTGGAGAAGATCTTGTATTTCCAGTCGAGGAATGGTCCTACGGAAGCCCTACTCACTGACTGCGCAAACTCAGTCTCAATTGACGAACTTTGTAACAAGTTGGAGGCGATTGGAAGATCTGATGCAAAGATAGTGGTTGATGAATGGATCAAGAAAAAGACTACAAATGTGTAGCTTGCAATATTTAAACCGACCACCGGGTTGAATCCTTGAAAGAAGGGAAGATTTCGCAAAAAGTGTTTAACGGACAGCGAGCAGTCCGGAAATAGTATTACGCATTGATTTTCAAAGCTAGGAAGACATCGTTTGAGAAGAAGACTCAATGACTTTTCATTTAGTAGTCTGTCTCATAGTGCGGTATTAATTCCGAAATTTGCAATCATTATGAGAAAGTTGCCCCTCTTTCTAGAGTATCTCCTCAAGAGGACAAGCATCCCACAAACCTAAATTAAGACTGAGCTTTTTAAAAAAGGACAGTTCTGTGTTTGTTTTTTTTTTATTTCGCTTTTGTTATATTTTTCTAATTCTTCCCAAATAAAATTGTTGCGGAAATCTGCTTGCCAATCATTCTTTGGAAATATCAACATCTTTAGCCGAATTCTTAGCATATTAAAGGACAATCTCCGAGCGGTTGTGATACTCTTTTGACTTTAGATCATGGCTACCGTTTTTCATACACCGACTATTTAATGGCAGAAATAATGGAAGATGATGTTGTTTCTAGAGCGTACTTTTCCCTCAAGCAAGAGAGCTTCTTCAAGCACTACTTTTACATTTGAGACTTATGAAAACTTATGACTTCATATTTGAAACTTATTATGACAGAAAGGGCCTTTCTGTCATAATCTCCTTCTACGTGTTCTGCTTTTAGTTTCTTAAGTCAAACTATTAGCTCTGGAGTGAGTGAAAAACAAAAAAATTGGTTTTCAACAGAGACTGTTTGGATATACACGAATCGGCTGTGGCAGAGAGTTTTAGTTTTTGGAGAAGACAAAGGTGGACGAGTCATTTGCTGAAAAAAATTGAACGTGTTAGTGTTATAACTATATGAAAGTTTGATAGTTTATCTCACGATATAGAGCCAGGATATCGATTGCATTGATCGCCACACCTGGTGCAACCTAAAGATCCCTTTTTTACAAGATCCCTTGAAAATGTGGCAAACTATATATCGGCGAAACGGCGACAGCGATGACCGAAAGAATGAACGGGCATAAAAGAGACATACAGCTTGCTTAAACATACTGAGGGGTTTCAAAACACGCTAATGAAACAGGACATGTTCCTATTTGGAACCAAGTTAAGTTTATTGGCATGATGCGCTCCACTGGTATACCCGTAGGGTTAAATAAGCCATCCACATAAGATATCATCCTAAGTAACGTCTTTAGAGACAACGGCATCGAAATTCCGAGCCTGCGAGCAGACCCTTATAATTAGCGCTGCAAGACGCGCATTTTTCCGTTCTCGGGAAGATTTGAGAGGTCTAGGGGAGAGGTTAGCCGGGGGTCTGGTGCTAATAATATCAGTGCTAGACCCATTGCAGAATTGTTGCTAACTCGCAATGCTCGAGGCCTCATCCTGCGGGCGAAGAAACCCTCGCGCCCAAGCGCTTATGTTAGGGACCTTTAACAAAACCACGACGGCGGCGGCAACGAGGACGTAGCAAAACGAAAGATCTAGTAAGCAGAATAATAGTTCATCACGTGCGTTTAAAAACTGTGTACATTTCCTTGCCGTCCTGTGCAAAACGACAACGTGAAATCACCAAAATTTGCGTGGTCTGAGCAAGGAAACGGATCGATAAGGGAACATAATTCACGAGTCGGGATAATAACAAGGATCAACAAGGAGGATTCAAATGCAATGAATGCGCGTCAAACACATAAATAACAGCAAACCAAGGGGCTTTGTACAATAAAACGTACGCATTTGTCTTGGTCGCCTGAGAAGCCTGGCAGTATAGCTGTCGGATCATCGCGATCAACATAGTACTACTTTTACATTAGGAGAGCGAGATTGAACTTTGAACCAAACACGCGTGTTTTTCTGTCATCTCGAATTATCACTATAAAGTTGTGGTAAATAAACCAGCTAAAAGGTTCAACGTTTAATTTACTGTTTATCGTATTGAAGTCGCCCGTGAAACCGTCCGTAACTTCAACTGAATCGATAATGTAGACTGGCCACCGTAAAGAGTTCTATAGCTGACTTTTCGAACGTTAGTCCTTCATCAGAGCGAATGACAAAGGGCTAACCCTCGAAGCATTACAAATATTGATCTAAAGGGTGGGAAAACTGCCGAACAGGCCTCGTAAACCCAGCTAACAACTTCTTTACTCTCTCAGCAGGAAAAATCACAATATCATATTATATAGTGCTTATGTAGCAATCAAGGTTGCCCAAGTTATTTTTGTGTGACTCGTGTTTTTATTTCAGTATTTTCTCGAAAACATTACCAAAGTTGCTCCGCTGAATTAAGCGGAATAGGAAATATACTCTCCTCTGGTACGGAATATATTTTCCCCACAAAAATTCCTGTATAACTCGATAGTCTTTCTACGAGACCCTGTGGAATATGATTGTATTTTATGGCTTTTACGGTAGTGATTTGGATGCGGCTTGTTAAAAACAACATCGACCGCCATCTCTGTTTCGTTTAAGAACTGCTGACCTACACCACAGTCGGCTCTCCTAAACCGGAACTATCAAAATTTCTCGAACTCGCCAACTTCCGTGAATTTGAGACGAGCTTTCTGTGATATTTTGGTTTGTTTAAGCCCTCAAAAGCCGCTTAATGGAGTCGATTACCACGACTTGTCTTATCGATCTTGCCTTTGACTTATCAGACGATTGGAAAAAGCTTTCACATGTTCTTGGTCTTTCTGGAGAAGTATCAAGAATATGTGATGACTACAGACGGAATGTCTTCGAACAAGCTTACCGAATGCTGCAAACTTGGAAAGGGAAAAAGGGATCTCAGGCTACTTATCAAGTCTTGCGTGAGGCCCTTGCACACGAAGCCGTATTGCGTAATGATTTGGTTCAAGAATACTGTGAGGGAAGAGACAGGAGCTCTTTGGACGAAGGTAAGAGATTGAAATCTTTTCGAAGCTTATTGTACAGCACCTCAAACAACAAGAGCGGCGACATTTACAGAGAACTTAGATTTCTTAGGAGGGATTTCATTTACTCAAGTAGCTGGTTCACTGATTCTTGATTCTGGCATCTGGAAGAATATATAGTACATGTTACCTCCTTGTGGATTGACTTAGACAGTTTTTACACTGATTCATTCAAGTGTGACTGTTAACAGCGTTAGATCTTTCGGTAAACAATGGGATGAAGTTGAGACATAAGTATTAGGATGTTTAACTAGCAAACAACCGAAACAAAACCAAAGCACGTCACAGATGTGCGCTTAAAATTATCAGAGTTGTTAGTAGTCAAAATGGTACATACTTTTAAGAGGGTGATATCATAGTAAAATGAAATATTTAATCGTTTCGAGGGGGAGGTGGACAGAAATCCTTGAGGGACGGGGTAGGGGAGGATTTGGTCGTATATCTGAGCTATTGCTAAGATTTTGATGATATAACGCGATGCAAAACGATAGTAAACCAAAACAGGGACTAAACCACGAATGCAACACGAATAAAAGGGTAGCGAAAAAAAGAGTTAATAAACGTGCGTCTCAAAACTTTGCACATTTCCGGGCCGTTCCTTACAAAATAACAACGTAAAATCACTTAATTTTCCAGGCTGGTCGTTTGCAATCCGTTGAATCTCCTCCACCTTCAGCTACCCTTGCGCCCTCTCGATTTATCTTTCTTTCTACGGAGCTAACATTTTGTTTGGGCTCCCTCGGATTTAAGGTAGTTTTGTAACAATAGCCACTCACCCGGCTGTCTCGTTTGTTGTCTCAATACCTTACAGAGATCGACCTTGAAGGACTCAAGCCCGGGGTAGTTTCCAGCAGTGACTTACTCTCCATCGCCAAAGACTTAGGATTAAAGTGGGTCTGGATTGGTCGACTTCTCGGGTTAGAAGACTCCTTGTTAGATGGCATCAGGGAAGATCACATACAGGTCTCTGATTGTCAATACAAAATGCTCGAGTTATGGAGGAGGGTAAAGACTACTGGGGCAACCTACCAGTGCCTTGCAAGGGCGTTGCTGCACAGAACAGTTTGCATGCGAGATGTTGCTGAGAAATTCTGCGTGGAGAATTAAGAAAAACAGATGGGTATGTTTCAGTCGTTGAATAATGAGATGAACTTAACTCTCGTATAAACTATTAAAAAACAAGAAAAAAAATTATAGAACTGCATGTTTCATATCTATAGGGAGAGAAGAAAAAGAAGAACCTTTGCTGTGATAATCGAACCTAAAATTTGTACTGTTCTTTCCTCGTAAGCCTCTAAAAAAGTCGCTGGACTAAGTAATGTGAGAGAGAGAGAGACTATATGTTTATGTACATGTATATATGTTTTGACTCCCATTTCGCCGCGAGAATTTGCCCATAAGTTCTGATTCTGAAAACAAGATACATGATAGATTTGTGGTGAAAGAATTGGAAGAGAAAAATATTTTCTCATGAAACAACATCAGGCATGACTCACTGTTTTGTGACATGTTTCTTCTACAGTAAACAAAAGAAGCCAGAAATTGAGACAAAAAACCTGAGACACCAATAGAGGATTAATCAATTAATCTTATTTTACGTTTGACGCATGACCAGGTTCAACGCAAAGAAACTGATGGATGAATGGATCAAGTCACAAGATTGCCAATAGGCAGCCTGCAATATTTCGATCTACCGCTTTCTTTTGTGGCATGGGGATACAGAAAATCCTAGAAAGAAAAGAACAATTCTCAAAAATATGTCCCAGGGATAGCGAGCAAGCCAGAAATATATTTAATCATTGATTTTCTTGACGAAGAAAAAAGTGTTTGAGCAGTAGATTTCACTAAAAAGAGTTTAGAAAACGAAGCGTTGTTAATAGATAATCGATATATCCACCTGTGTTCCTTTTTTTCGAAAGACTAATGTATGTCACAATCATGAATACTAATTTATAATTGTATTCGAGTAAAGGAATTTTTGTTACTCTGTACGCCGTGAATTTGAAGAATAGAAGCTTGTACGTTGCTTGAGTTTGGTCAGCTTGTTATTACGGTGTTCTAATAACTGATCAAGCAGCCTACGCGAATGTACTTATAAAATGCTCGGGTTGTCGTGCAAAAAAGAGGAATGCCAACGCAACATACAAGAGCCTTGCACAGACGTTATTAAACGGAGCAATTTGCATGCGAGAAGTTGCTGAGAAATTCTGCGTGGACCACTGAGGAAAAGAGATCGGTATATTCCATTTGTTGAATGAAATAATGACCCTCAGTCTCAGAGAATATCAGAAAACACTCAAGACAAAGGATTGCAAGAGCCGGTTCAGTTGCGCATATCTACAAGGCGCTAAGGAAAAGTAGAGCGTTTGCCTTTATAACCGGCGTTAACATCTGTGATGTTTTTTCTTGAAATTTTACGCCAGCCACGTTGAGAAAACGCTAGTTGGAGAAAAAGAAACTGATCCTTGATCAGTTAAGTTAGTGATTGCAAACCGCATTTAACGAAGTGGTGATATAGATCGTTTATGCGATGAGTCATCGGCCAGAGACTAGACTAGAACCGGCCAACGTTGTCTTGCAAGAGATTATAATCTCTTGTGTTTTGATATTGCAAATCAATTGAGTGACTGCAGCCTTTCGAATAAAGTTACGATAAAGATTAATTTTGTGTGGCTATTAGCCAGAGTTTATGAACTGAACAATATTGTTCAGAAAACCCAAATACTTGGCAAACAGGCGTCTTTTGGCTTTCTAAATCCGGTTTGCAAGACGTTGATACTAGCAGGTTTTGACTCACATTTCGCCGCTAGAATTAACATATAAATTTAAATTCTGAAAACAAGATACATAATAAGTTTGTGGTGACTCCCAAATGTATTCCGTTGCACATATATGTGCCGTACTAATTCGATTTAGCGCCTGGGACGTTTATTTCACTGCTTTCACCTCAAGGGAGTGTGCTTATTCGAAACAGGGCGTTTATGAGGAGCCGGGCGTTAATTTTTTTTTTTTAGAAACAGCAGAAAGTGAAACAAACTTTTGATGTTTATTTGAAAGGATAAAAAAGACTGGGAAACAGACTTTTTTTCCCTGGATACTTCCTTCCTAGAATGACTATCCAAGCGATCGTCGCAAAATTTTAAGACAGGATCTTCCGTTTGAAGGAACTGCGATTTCACAGCAACATAAAAATCGAGAGAGACAAAGATCTCCTCTTTTGTCGTGAGGCTTTAAGTGAGTAATTAAAGGAAGATGGACCACGGTTAATCTCAATGTTCACGTACTCTAACAGTCCTATTACTGAAACAGAATAGGGACGTTTATTGGAAAAGAGGTGCGTATTGGAATGAGGTGCTCATTCATTAGGGGGCGCTTATTAACAAAAACCAAATTCGAGGGGGGCGTTTATTGGAGAGGGGGCGCTTTATGGAAGGAGGGCGCTAAATTGAAGAGTTACGTTATGCTTTGTTTCGTCGTCACCGTTGTTGATTTAATTGTTGCACGTTTATTTTTTGTTTGTTTTTTCAGCTGACTAACAATATATGCTTAGACTAATTTCCAGCGCGAACCTTACGTCATGTACAAGAACGGTTCATTCGTTCGATTGATACTGGCATGCATGACCATCACTCCGAAGTAATGAGGATCGAATGCAATCATTGGTACAAGTAAGGTAACATTATGAAAAGTTCTTTACAAAGCAATTTAACGATTATAGAAAAATAACTACAGCCCTTGTCTCTTGCACAAAGCTTACAGCTAAAAGTAAGGCAGAACGGTTCGAAGAAGCATTAACTTTCTTGTTGGTGGCTGTGGGGCTTCTTTTTCACATTAAAGCCACCGTTTCTTCTCCGTTATCAGGATCAACCCCGTTTCTGTTTCCATCTGCTCCTTTCATAGGCTCACTCTGATCGGAATACAAACTCTCCATGGTTGGTTGATTGAGAGTTTCCGGTAAAGTCATACATCCAATAGCAGCTGCGATCGCCAGACCAGCCATTATCCCATAGGGAAGGAAACGATGAACGATCAACTATTGAAGATAGATCAGGGTTTATATTTAATTAAGGTTGTTACAGTCGAACCTTTCCAGAGAAAGGAGCTTTTAGTAATAAGTGACCGTCCAGGGGAAGGTGAGGATAATTACAAATATTTTATTTAAGTGATTTGTAACATTTCAGGTGGTTAGAACAATTCTTGGCAAAATATGTGCTTAAATTTACTTAGATTTAATGCTGTAAATTACGGCAAAAATTCTGTCGTTAATGCGTGTCCGCACTTTAAACGAGGAGGTCAAGAAATCACATGGTCCTCAGTCTTTCGAGTTTCCTATCAGAAAATTATATATTTCAGGTGTATAAATGATAACTGTGACTCTTGTGAAATATCCCGCCCATGAGTGCTGCGTAACTGTTGCGTCGTGAGATCTGAGAATAGTGCATTTTGGTGTCTGCTCTCTTTTTCAATTTGTCTGTGCATGTCTGTCTGTCTTTCTGTATGCCTTTCTCTCTCAATGTCTGTCTTAGCTCGTTATCTATTCATTCATTTATTCATTTCTTTGTTGTTGTTGATGTTGTTGTCGTTGAATACCGTCTTAGACCTGAAGGAAACAACAAGTTTGTCTGTACACGCGTCATTTGCCACTCTGTCAGTCCGTTGGTCCGTCTGTCTGAACGATCGTAGTTTGTCAATCTGTCTGTTTACAATTTCTTGTCACTACGTCTATGCGTCTGTCTCCTTGTGTGTTTATTTCATTTGCAAAATTTGCTTGTTCCAAGCTTGGGGTGATCATTTGTGTTCTTAAACGAAAAATCTAAAGCAAACCACCAAAACCTGCGATAGGAATAGGATATAGAAATATAAATTGATTGTTTACCAAGAGCGGAGCATAAGCTGAGGCAAAAGCGCTTACGCGGGCGGAAGCTGTAGATGTACCCATACCAACATTCCTAAAAGAAGGACAAAACAAATCTCATTATGCTGGTAAACTGTATAACTGAACGTGTTAATCGGATTTTATGAAAAGAGTCATTCATTCTTGATCAATTGAAAAAACTCACAGTAGGTCCAAGGCTAAAGTTAATAACTTTTCATTATTACTATAGCAGGCCTATGCTCCTTGACCTCGATCACGCGTTCGCATTATATCCAACTCCTTATCTAAAGGATCGTCTGGATGAAATAAATTCTTATGATAGTTCAAAACAATTTTTTCAAACGTTCATCCAGAACGCAGCCACATACTCCAGACAGATTTTGGCCTCATTGACACAGCTTCGCTTGGAAATACTTTTAAGGTAAAAACTGGCCTTCAAAATGATTCCAAAATTAAAGCCTTTTGAATATGTGTCGTTTTCGAAACGTTCCGTCTCTAATGTGGGGAGGTGCGAACGGAGGCTTACGAAAACGGTGACGTAACGTAAAAAGCGTCATATCAGCGTTTTTTGTCGGCTGTAATGTGGAGGACTGGGCATTTGAAAGACAAGTCATTAGAAAGTCTGTTTTTTTTTCAGATGAAAACGCATTAGCATGGGCAGCTGAAACAAACCGAGTATGCTTATAGTTGAGACGGACGATTACTTTTAAAATCGCATTAAAATGACGGACGCCCTTAAAAGTATATCTTTTACAGTATAGATATTTCAGTCTAGTCTACCTTATGGTTGTTGGAAACAACTCAGCAGAGTAAATGTAAACCAATGAAAAGGCTATTTCACTGTTAAACTTTGCAACGACCATGGACATGAAGATTTTCCCAGCCATGTAACCTGGGTAAGGAAAAAATTTTAAATGATTAGCAATAACAAACATAACTCTTTATAAGTTTACGCTCAGATAAAAGCTTAGGAGGCCCATTCGAGGTTTTTCAAGAATCAAAAAATTTGTTTTCTATGTTCCAGGGTTCATGGCCGTACAATTCAGCCAATAGTCTGACTACTTACGAATTTTCCATCCGAAACGATATGCACATCTCAGTGCAGTGTTATGAACATTCGACTGGTCAGCTAAATGGCTAGTTAGTTTGGAGGGTTTAGAGACAGTTCTAACTGCTAATTATTTACAAAATAGGTCCTATATGTAAATCAATTTGTGAATGCTTCACCTTTATCGTTTTCAGCTTTGTCTGACAGTAGAAGTGTCCCGATTGCTCCGACAGCAGCTAATAGAAACGATACTCCTAGAATCTTTCTGCGACCGAACCTGTTGAAATAATCGTATCAAGAAAAGCGGATCAACTTAAAGGTAAGCAGGCTTTGTTTAAAGATTAAAAATGACCGTATATGGCTACTTTGGAACAATGGCGGAAACAGCTTTAAAATACACGCGGGATTGAATGGCAGGAAAATTAGTAACATAATCGACAACTGAACAAGGATGTCGATGGTTAAACTGAATTTGATGTCTCTAAGCTGCTTCACTTAACCGCAATTTTGATTGAATCATCCTTTTCTAAAACTGGCAGCAGACTTAAATTGTTCTTGACTTGGATTAACATATTTTGTTATCTAAAAATATATCGGTAGCATGTAAACTAACCATTTTTGTAACAATTATTGATATCTTGAAAATTAAAAACTTTTAAAAACATAAGACGAAACAGATCTAGAAAGTCTCTTGGCCCTAATGGCAATACTTACTTCATCGTCAAAGCAGCACTTATTGGGTATGCTGGCAATGCAGCTATACTAGATATAAGGACATTGATGTAGATATTTCCCCCAACAAAAGGAGCACTGAAAGCTATGCCCCAGCTGATAAAAGATGCAGAGAACCTGTTCATGACGAGAGAAAAGATAAAAGGGAAAGAGAAATTAGGAAATTGGAGATAAATCCAAAACGATTACTGAAAGGGTATATTTCTGGAGGTAATCATGAAAACTGTTTTCAGGTATAATTTGAATTGAAAAACTCATAGATTACTTAGATTAGAAACCTTTGGTTTAATTGGGATATTCATGGTACCCATAATTCACAAGAAAACACAACATTCCATTAAATAAAAAGGTTTAAGAACTATAACCACGGATTATGAATAATTCGCAAGGAGACAGGTTTGCCTTCCGGCTTTGATGCTTTCCTTTTTCAATTATTTTGCTCATTTTTGTCTATGTTTAATTTCTAACTTGTTTGTTTGTTTGTTTGTTCATCTTGTTGTACGTAGCGTCTTACGTTGCTTCTCAGAGGACATTCCATCAGTTCCTATAAGCTTTAGGAGATCTCCCAATACTATGAATATGTGTCATCTTCGGAACAAACTGAGAATAAAAACATGGCGGATGCCATTACCTTGCCTCCCCCTCCCTCATGCGTGACAGTTATCATTATTTCGCAATTTAGAAGCACAGCATAAGCAAAATTTCAGTTGATCATTTCGTGTAAACTACTTGGTTCAACCAAATGAAAATACAACTAAACTTTGTCTCTTTGGGTTGAGCACCAAATCGAGTCTCGTAAAATCACAAAAGGGAGCGGCCGCTTCACGACTTACCACATTAACCAAGAGCATAACGTCTTGTGTATCATTTTTCGTGACACAAACAAATCTCGGAAGTCACCAAGCCTCTCATTCTGCTCTTCTTGTGATAATTCCAGTGATTCAGTAGGCATTTCTTTTCCATTCAGCTCAGCTACTTTACGTAGGATTACCCTGGCCTGATCCTCTCGACCTTTTTTTAGCAACCAGCGGACAGACTCTGGGATGAAACTGAAGGGCGATAATGTTAACCCAAAAATCAATGAAGATGAGTCCTATTGATGATTTGAGATAACAACTTTAGCTGATAATTTGGTTTTATCAGCTGAGTTGATAATGTGGATTGACCACCGAAGAGAGATTCTAAAGCCGACGATTCGAGCGTTAGCCCTTCATCGGAGCAAATCGTCAGCATCAGAACCAGACAACTATACGATGGCCAATTCAGATTATCAACTCAGTCGTCCAAATTACCTTTTGATACCCTCCACCGACGCAGCATTGTACTTTTTTGTTTTTTTGTTGTTGTTTTTTTTTATCTTACCCCCATTGAAAGTAATTACCAGTTCGTTTCTCTTCAAGAGATGGTGCATATGGGACGATAGCCTTTGAGGCTGAAGGTTTACATTTTGGTCATTTCACGGCTAACGATTGAGGTGATTCCTTAGTATCGCACTGCGCATCCTGTACTACGCATAAAAATCACGTAATCCGGCGAATAGGCGCGTGCACTCCGAGCATACGATATTGTTTTTCAATCAATGGACCAGGTAAAGAGGTGCTAGGGGCAATGGCTCTTGAACGAGCACGGTGATGTTATCATACATCGGCAGAGTACTAAGGAAATGACAAGGATCGATTTTCCTTGGATATTTATCGTTTTCCCAAGTATTCTGATATTACTGACTAAAAACCGTTACTATCTCTCTCTTTCGCAGCAAACTTGGAATCTACGGCTATATCCATTAAATCACGCGACTTGCAAACACAAGCTCAGGGGAGTGGACTACGTTCTTCACCCAAAAAATTGCTTAGTATTTATCATTAAGTGCCATGGAAGAATCTGTTTACTCACAAGTATCCAGCCGTAAAGAATATGCCAGGAACTCCAGTAAACATAGTGAGTTCACGCCATTCTCTGATAGCGTATGCTACACCTGCTAAGATCATGGTGAACAGAAAGAATCCAGTCCACACCAGGCCTCCTGCTACACCTCTGTGGCGCATTCCGGAAAACTCCGAAGTCAACACGAACAATGGAATGCTGTAAGCACCTGCATAGACGAAAACCAGCTTGTTGATGCCAGAGCAATTTTCAAAAGAGTGTCGCAAGTAATCTTTACTTCGCTCTGTGATAGGTCCGGAAAGAAAACTCGCGCCACTTTTTCAACCAATCAGATGCAAGACTAAAGCTTATCACGACTTGGTCGCACGCGTTTTCCCGCGCTTTAAGCAGTTTGGTTGTTTTTAGTTTGACTTCTCATTGGGTGTTATAGGTATTTTCTCTTCTTCTGATTGGCTGTTGTGATTACTTTGGTTTTGGTTTCATGAGACTCAATCAAAAATTGCTCTAAAATACCTAAGTTTATTAACTGTAGAAGTACGAGCCTTTGCATTGCTCTTCTGACTTGGAATCTTTCCAGAATTTGACTTCTTCTTGTAATACAACTTCCCAGCCATTGTTATAAAAAATATACAGACAGCGCCTCTACGAGAAAAGTCCAGCGTAACCACACTGGTCCTCTCCACAAAAAAATTAGAATTTTTGTTTGTTTTATTACCACATAATTTCATTATGGTTCCTGTTTCACTTTTTTCATTACCAAGAGATGATCCTCTCTTGTCTGAACTTACCAATCATGAATCCAACAATGCAACGACAAAGTGCAAAAAACCAGAATGCAGGAGAGAAGGCTGAGATGAGATGAACCACGCAGCAAATAAAACCGCAGAGGAAAAGGGGGCGTTTCCTGCCAAACCTGTCAGAGAGGGTGCTCACAAGGATACTTCCAATGAAAAATCCGGCAAAGATCATGGAGGTGGAAACAAACCCCAAAGACCCGCGTTCACAAACCAGGTCGAACTGTTAAGTTTAAAAAGACCTACTCATATTAGAAGAAATTCACTGTTGATGGATGTTATTAAATACTCATCGACAGATATAATTTTTTTTCTTAGTTCTTTCAGGCTTTCATTTGATGTAAAGTTGCCTTTACACAAAATGAGTTTTAAATTTCATTTGGCAATCAACATCGAATAGAACTAGGACTCCAAATCAAATTAGCAAGTTTCTTAGGGTGATAAATTCAATTTCTCGTGTTTACCTCAGTGACAATAGAAGTGAAATCGTTCGCAAATTTCCAATCTTCCCTTGGAATATTACATCGGTACTTGTACCTCGTGTCTCCAAGACTTATGGTGTCCGTATAGGGGCAAGTCGATGTATTTTTGCACTGCCAGCCGGGCTCCGATGCGATAAAGACAGAAATCATTACAGGAACGGCCCACCATAATGCATAGGTAAGATTGAAAAATATGTTGAGGACAATTTGGTAGCGACCGAAGCTGCCAATCTGTTCCAAGACTTCGTCAGTGGTTATCGTCATTTCTAAAAGGTAAAAATTAATATGCATTCATATTGAGTGCACCTCAAACATATTTTTTAGTTTTCTAACATTTAGCCAAAGACCGAGGTCGATTATCAGAAAGATTGAACATTGTCGATGATATCTACGTGTGGGGAAGCAGAGCAAATTACATTTGTTCTTTATATGGTCTTGTGATTCCCAGAACTTCCTCCTCCCCTCCCCCTCCCCCCTCCCCCCTCCCTCACTACTGTGAGGAAAAAAGATCCATGATACTATGAGCGGGCGAAATATAACGAATTTTGGTTCTGACGAACAGGCTGACTTTTCTTACTTACTTGAAGCAATAGAGAATGAAGACATCACTGTTAGGTCGGTTTGCAGTCAACATTTAATGAAGACACGTGACGTGAGACGAATTATTTCTAATTTTTTCGTAACATTTGATGAAGCGGCGCTATAAATAGCAAAATTTTTTTCAAATTCATTTCCAAAATGTATAGCCTTGCGACAACTTCCTATTGAATCTTGTCATCCCGTTAAGTTTCAACGAAATATAAGTACATTAATTAAATTAAATTAAATTACTGCATTCGTTTTCATTCACAGCAATGCTTTCATTCTGTGGGCTCTGGATTTGCTTGAGTTTGGCCTTTGAATATCAATCGATCAGTGATTACCGCCTGAATGAAAGTTAGACGACAAATTAATATGCCAAGCAATATATTTCACGAAGCAAGCTTATTTTAGTATACAATCATCAAAACGACATTCACCGTTAGTTTCAGACTGTAACCTGAGAAAAGAAATCAGGCGTAATTTTGGCGAGCGAGTGCTCGGTATTTTTCTAACCCTTTGACCCCAGATCAAATTTGTAATTCTCCTTACCGTCAACCATACAATTCTTATATTGTTAGTTCAGAGAATTTAATATTGGATCAACTAATTATCCCTAAATTGATATTTTTCTTTATTCTCATTACTTATCTGATTGGTATTTTATTGATATTGTAAGGAGAAATTCTGTCTTGGTCACTCACGGGAGTTAAAGGGGTAACGAAAATTATGGCCGCCATCCTTGACTTAAATTGCAAAGAAATGCGAGTGAGAGAAATTAAAGAAATAAAACATGGCCGGTCGGATAAACGATCGCTAGCTTATAACGTCAGCTCGCCATAATAAGACGCCTGCACTGCAGGCGGAGTAACCGCAGAATACCCTGCCACTTTGGTTCATCTCATTTACATGTGAAGTGAAGCTTTCAAGGACGAGACATAACACAACAGACGCTATTCCTATTCAATGACACGTAAATGAGTGGCAGGGTATTCTGCAGTTTAGCCCTGCAGGCTACTAAATGAGTGGTATGAGTCACTGAAGCCGTTTGGTTGTCATTTCGCTGCCCTTCTAGATCAGTGGAATAACTGAGGGCCGAGGGCTGCATACCTTGGCAAACAATAAAATTACAGCTTCAGTAAAAGTAGCTTGTGTTCTGTACAATGAGTTTGCCAGCACATATAACAATATGCACTCGCTCCATTTACAAAAGAAAAATCGGAAATAACAATTTTGTGGTTCTGATCACTAAAAGCATACGTGTAATCTTGGTGTGCATCTCTTAAGTTAGCTCTAGGAAGAAAGGTTAAACATTTCCATTTTTAATCCTGCTCGACTACTTCGTTTTCGTCTCAGAGCCAACAGGGTTATGTTTCGATCTTACGGCAGATATGAGACTGCACGACGACAAGTAACCTTGAGTAAGAAGTGTTCAGTTTATTGTGCTCACCTCATTTATGAAGATTCTTCTGCCTGTGTGATAATTCTGGTCCGCGTTGTGGATGATTACAGCTTTGATGGCTCAGGTTGATTCAAGATTTCCTTGTTTGAAGAAGAAGATAATTATTCCGTGAGCGTCAACAGTCATATACCGCTTATTGACACAAAAGCCGCGAGGTCAATTAACCCTTTAGAAAGAATTCATGCAATTACGACGAGAAATTGACAGGCGTCTAACGAACCTTGTGTTATTATTCAAATATGTCCTTCTGGCTTATTGTTTACGAAAACAAGATTACAACTAACTTGTTGGCACTTCACAGCGAAGGAAGAGGACACAGGACTTGAAAAAAGTAAATGTTGAAACCGTGTTGATAGACTCAGTCGTTGTACTGGTTCCGAAAGAAAACACCAAAAACACATACAAAAAAAAACACATACAAAAAAAACACATACAAAAAAAACACATACAAAAATCACATACAATCACGCACGACATGAAATACCACGGCTGAGTGACAACGAAAATAACAAGTCAACCAGCCACGCAACATCTTTAGGGTGGAGGATACGTAACGAGGCGTTTAGGATCAGGGAAAATGTCGAAAAAGGACCTCAAATTCTGAAACAACGTAAACGGTATAGGTTGACTTTTCAGCTGGCCGTGTCGCATAATGCAGCTCTAAGGAAATTAACGACCGCAAGCAAACTATTGTGCTAACATGTCACGCCAAATATCTATCTAGCGTGACATGTCCACCAATCGTCCGATTGTGTATGACACATATGAGGTTTCTCAGGTGTCATCGCATCTATCATCGGTTGAAGTCGCTGGTGATTTCGGTTTGCGCCCATGTCGTGCCATCTGTGAAGTCTTTTACCCTCGTCGACCTTCCTCTCTTTTCGCATTGTGGTATTGCTTCTGTCTATGGGAAAACTTGGAAAAAGAAACGAAATAACAGTGATGGCCACGTGAATTCCCTTTTGACCATCTTGAGTTAACTTGTGTCAATTGCTGCTTTGCTGGACAATCACCTAACATAACTTGTCAATGCGATGTTGTTTAACCTTAAAATCCTGACTTTCTTCGTCAACAGGTAACGTCCCCACTCTCAATCGTCCGAGTCACGCGGTCAGTCCCAGAAACACAGAGAAAAGCGTAGGTCAGTATGAATTCACTTACTGCGTACAATGGCCAGAATTGTGCATATTAATATGAGGTTGTTACAAATTGAGAGTCGGCGAGGCATGCGATACATGCGAGCCATCGCAAAATGCCTTTTATATAATTTTTTTTTAGATTAAGATATTTGAAGAATGCTATGGCTTAGTATTGTTTTGCTACTGGAAAAAGCCTACAGAATAACCTTCGTCATGCGACGTTGAAATCGCAGCCGCCAATATTTAGTGGTCTTTTAGCAAAAGAGCGTAGGTCGAACAAACAATTTTTTACTTTCTCTCCCCTCCTTAAATTAATTTTCTCTCTCGTTTCGACTCCGTGAATCACTCGACGTGTTCTTGGGTGTGTGTCTTTTTTTAGACTCGATCCTTTTACAGTCTTTGTTGTGGGAATCAAACATCCTTATCGCTTGTTCTTTTTGGGGCTTTTGTCTTCTGTAAATCGGCTTAAGAGGATTTTGCAGCATTGTGCAACATTGATGAGGCATATACGTTCATTTTTCATAATTTAGTAGTTAATATTACATTGGCATTGAGGCAGATTTGTAGAATAGCTGTAATCCAGATGGGTTAGCAAAATATGATAAAATAGCCATGTTCTTTTAGTTACAAAGAAACCCCTAGTAGGTTTTTAATGGTAATATTAAGGACGTGTTTTTGCGTTGTTATTACATTCGTTGCAGTTGGCCTGTGGTAGGAACTATGTTACGGTGTCGTGTAAGTCTGTAAACCTTCCTTAAACACCTCACGGTTTTCAAAATGGCGCACTATCGTGAGGCACTCGTAACGACTCTTGTGATCTGGGCCAGCTCCAACTCTGGCCATCATTGAACGAATCTGATTGGGTTTCTTTGGATTCATTTTTGGTTTTGTCGGGTTTACTTCGATGTTTGCTCAGGGTCTCACCTCTGAATTTCGACTTGTTATCGATTTGAACGTGACCGCTTCGTCGTCAAACTGTTCTCACATGTGCGTTTTACTCTGAACACGTCTAACATATCCTTGAAGAAGAATGTCGATTAAAAAAAAAGAAAGAAAAAAGGAAAAGAAAGACAAAAATAAGTTAACGTGGCCAAGGCTCAAACCTTATACCTTCGCATACGAGAAGAGAAGGTACGAACATTGCGCTAGGTACGCAGAGCGTACGAAGCTGTGAAGTTTTGTCTAAAAATACATTTACTGCGCATCAAGAAACTGTAAAATTCTCAGTTTATAATCTCTTGCGCACAGTTAATACATGTACCTCCTTTATTAATTTCCTGTCCTATATCCGGCGGGTCAGTCGATTAGTGCACAAACTCTGTCATAACCAAGTGCTCTTTTGATCGCAATTTAGCAATAACAAGAGGTGTTCATTCTGACCCGTCTGCATTTTACACCAGAGTGTTTTTTTTCTGCAATACTCTACAACTATTCAAAAGTAGGCACATGCAGTCAGAGACTGCCTTTTATCTGAATAAAATTTTTTTCTATAGTTTGCCTCTATGTTTCGTATGCCTCGTACGCCTCGCCGCACCATGAGTCGTATGTCTGGAATGCGTAATGGCAACACTCATTAATGAGATGTTGTGGCGAGCAATTCAAGGTTGAGAGCTTAGTGAAACCGCCACAATTAGAGAAAAAATGGCAGAACTCGGCGAATTTGGCTGACTAAAACAATAATTTCGCAGTACTTGAAGTAAGCTTTGCTAAAATAGTAAAACAGATTTTCCTTTATTATCATACTTTAGGAAGATTGAAGAAGAAGAAGCAGTAGACTTTCCAAAATTAACCTTTTTGGGAGACATTTATTAGGATTCGGTCTTACTTTTCTTAAAAAATGAGCAGCAATCACTGCACTCATTACTGAAGCAGCTTACTAAAGATACATGTCTTCTCTGTGTATGGGCGTTTTTGTGTCCTTATTGTAAACTTGAAGGATTGAAATCCTAACAATGGTTGCCATGATTGAAAAATGCAGTCACCTGCAGCTGTAACGAACGGTCTATAATCTGGCATGTAATCGAACACCCGTGAATTCGAAAGAGAACTTGTAAATTGCGCTTGAAAAGAAAGAAGCATGAATCCAAATGCGAAAATAGCGGAGGAAAATGTTCAAATGTTTTGACCAAAAGCTCTCTTCAGAGCTCAAAGAACTCCTGCTCAAAACTTTACTCCTTCAAATGGTTGATGGTGACGATCATACCTTTTCAACCGGAAAATAAATCCGCGGCAAACTTCCTCGTTAAGTTTATGTCCAAAACGCAGCACACGCATCTCGATCGATAACTAGACGCAATCTTTGCTTTAGGTGAGCTTGAACGCTGTATATCATCCATCCTAGTGTCCACTTTATGGCACGTTAAAGATCTTTTCCGTAACTTAATTTTGGAGGGTCTATCTAGCACGCTGACAGCGTAAAAAAAGGGTTTTGTTTGTCTTTAAAAATGGCGACGAACTTTTTTTGAATTGGCTACCACTTTGAAAAATTTTGAAGCCAAATGGCTATCAGAAAAGAAAAATAATTTCACGCCCTGTACTTGGACAATGCTTTTACTGTACTCCCAAGAAATTGATCACATAAAACTATCTGACATTGGCACACAAATGAAAGAAACCCATAAGCAACCTAGAAACCAGATCCTGAAACTTCAGGCCACAGTGGAAGTGCAAGCAGTGAACTGGTACAAGCAGCAGATAGAGAAGCAGAGGGAAAAACACTAAGACATGGATTTCCGCAACCTGACCGATCAACTTTCGAACATGCAGTAAGTGCGTTACGAAGTTGTTTTATATGCTTTATTTGGCTGAGCGATTAATACGTATGTTTTAAAACATTTATTTTGTTTTAAAACATATTCTCGCATCAGGCATGATCCATTTGACCATATGTTTCCCTCACAGTTCAGTCAGCAATAACAAGCTAGAAGTCGATATGAGGAAAAAAAAAACACGAGACGGCGAACGAGGTTTAGAAATTAGATCCCTTGCGCCAATTAGGAGGAGATTACAAAGATCTCGCCAGTGAAATTGGATATAACATGGAGAAAATCTTGTTTTTCCAGTCGGGAAAGATCTAACTGAGGCTCAACTCAATGACTGCACAAACTCAGTCTCAACTGACAAACTTTGTGACAAGCTGAAGGCGATTGGAAGATCTGATGCAAGGAAAGTGCTTGATGAATGGATCAAGTGACGACACTGCAAATGTGTCACCTGCAACAGCTAGAGCTACTATACGCACGCCAACAAGTTTTTCTTTTAGGAGGGAGGAGGTGGGGGCTGGGAATGTTTTAAAAGAGAAAAATTCCAGCGAGCAACTCGGAGTGGAGCTTTTAATTAAACAAACAAAAAGTTGTTTGGGCTGAAGATTTTAATTACTCGTCACCAATTTTTGTGAAAATTATTTCAGAAAATTTAGCTTTTCACTTATATCTTTAAGTAAGCGGTTCGTTATTTCATTTTAATGATTCATGGTGACCATGACCTGAGTGCACTAAAACAGAGCCATAGCCTAATGAAGGTCATTTTTATGGTGCTGGGCTTAGGGAACAAATAAACCATTATATAACGGAGCATTCCTTAAATCAACGACCTAGCCTACGCGAATGTACTTATAAAATGCTCGAGTTGTTGTGCAAGAAAGAGGAATGCCAACGCAACTTACAAGAGCCTTGCACAGACGTTATAACACAGAGCAGTTTGCATGCGCGAAGTTGCTGAGAAATTCTGCGTGGACCACTGAGAGAAAGAGATCGATATGTTCCAGTTGTTGAATGAAACAATGACCCTCAGTCTCTGAGAATATCAGAAAACACTCAAGACAAAAGGATTGCTAGAGCCGGTTCAATTGAGCATTTGCGCATATCCACAAGGCGCTAAGGAAAAGTAGAGCGTTTGCCTTTATAACCAGCGTTAACATCTGTGATGTTTTTTCTTGAATTTTACGCCAGCCACGTTGAGAAAACGCTATTTGAAGAAAAAGAAACTGATCCTTGATCAGTTGAGTTTCGAACGGTTCGTTAGCGATTGCAAACACATTTAACGAAGTGGTGATATAGATCGTTTTTGCGATGAATCATCGGCTAGAGACTATATACCGGCCAACATAATCTTGCAAGAGATTATATTCTCTTGTGTCTTGATATTGCAAATCAATTGAGCGACTGCCGCCTTTCGAATAAAGTTACGATAAAGATTGATTTTGTGTGGCTATTAGCCAGAGTTTGGGAACTAAACAATGTTGTTCAGAAAACCCAAATGCTTGATAAATAGGCCGTTTTTTGGCTTTCTAAATCCATTTTGCACGACGTTGATACTAGCCGGTTTTGACTCACATTTCGCCGCTAGAATTTGCATATAAATTTAATTCTGAAAACAAGATACATAATAAGTTTGTGGTGAATCCCAAATGTATTCCAGTCGTATTTAGGCGTTGCACATATATGTGCCGTACTGATCCGATTTAGCGCCCGGGACGCTTATTTCACTGCTGTTACCTCAGGGGAGGGGGCTTATTCGAAACAGGGCGTTTATGAGGGACAGGGCGCTTATTTCTCCTTTGAAAAACAGCAGAATGTGAAACAAACTTTTGATGTTTATCCAAAAGGAAAGAAAAGACTGGGAGACAGACTTGCTGTACCGGGATACTTCCTTGCCAGGATGTCTATCCAAGCAACCGTCGCAAAATTTTAAGACGGGATCTTCCATTGGAAGGAACTATGCCCTCGCGGCGACATAATAATTGAGAGACAGACGAAGTTCTCTTTTTTTTGTCGTGAGGTTTTAAGTGAGCGAATTAAAGGAAGATGGACCACGGTTAATCTCAATGTTCATGTACCCTACTAGTCTTATTACTGAAACAGAATAGGGGCGTTTATTGGAAAAGAGGTGCGTATTAGAGTAGGTCGAATAGGGGCGGTTATTAACAAAAACCAAATTCGAGGGGGGCGTTTATTAGCGAGGGGGCACTTTATGGAAGGAGGGCGCTAAATTGAAGAGTTACGTTATGTTTGTTTGTTTTGTGGTCACCGTTGTTGTTTTAATTGTTGCACGTTTTTTTGTTTGTTTTTTCAATTGACTAACAATATTTGTTGAGACCAATCTCCAGCGCGAACCTCACGTCATGTACAAGAACGGTCCATTCGTTCGATTGATACTGGCATGCATGACTGCGCTGTCTCCGAAGTAATGAGGATCGAATGCAATCATTGGTAAAAGTAAGGTAACATTATGAAAAGTTCTTTACGTAGCAATTTAACGATTATAGAAAAATAACTACAGCCCTTGTCTCTTGCACACAGCTTACAGCTAGAAGTAAGGCACAACGGTTCGAAGAAGCATTAACTTTCTTGTTGGTGCCTGTGGAGCTGCTTTTTCACATTGAAGCCACCGTTTCACCTCCGTTTTCAGGAACAACCTCGTTTCTGTTTTCATCTGCTCCCTTCTTAGGCTCACTCTGAACGGAATACAAACTCTCCATGGTTGGTTGATTGAGAGTTTCCGGTAAAGTCATACATCCAATAGCAGCTGCTATTGCCAGACCAGCCATTATCCCATAGGGAAGAAAACGATCAACGATCAACTGTTGAAAGAAGATAGATCAGAGTATATATTAAATTAAGGCTGTTACAGTCGAATCTCTCCACAGTGGACACCTAAGGGACAGAGGGAAAGGAGCTTTCAGTGATGGGTGACTGCCCAGGGAAAGGTGGGGATAATTACAAATATTTTATTTCATTTCTTTGTTGTTGTTGTTTAATACCGTCTTAGACCTGAAGGAAACAACAAGTTTGTCAGCACACGCGTCATTTGCCATTCTGTTAGTCTGTTGGTCCATCTGTCTGAACGATCGTAGTTTGTCAATCTGTCTGTTTACAATTTCTTGCCCCTTTGTATGAGCGTCTGTCTCCTTGTGTGTTTATTTCATTTGCAAAATTTGCTTGTCCCAAGTTTGGGGAGATTATTTGTTTTCTTTAACGAAAAACCTGAAGCAAACCACCCAAACTTATGATAGTAATAGGATGTAGGAAATATAAATTGATTATTTACCAAGAGCGGAGCATAAGCTGAGGCAAAAGCGCTTACGCGGGCGGAAGCTGTAGATGTACCCATACCAACATTCCTAAAAGAAGGACAAAACAAATCTCATTATGCTGGTAAACTGTATAACTGAACGTGTTAATCTGATTTTATGATAAGAGTCATTCATTCTTGATCAATTGAAAAGACTTACAGTAGGTCCAAGGCTAAAGTTAATAACTTTTCACTATTACCAATAGCAGGCCTATGCTCCTTGACTTCACGCGTTCGCAACTCCTTATCTAAAGGATCGTCTGGATGAATTCAATTCTTATGATAGCTCAAAAATATTATTTTAAGCGTTCATCCAGAACGCAGCCACATAATCCAGACAGATTTTTGCCTCATTCACACAACTTCGCTTGGAAATACTTTTAAGGTAAAAACTGACCTACAAAATGATTCCAAAATTAAAGCCTTTTGAAAATGTGTCGTTTTCGAAACTTTCCGTCTCTGATGTGGAAAGGTGCGAACGGAGGTTTACGAAAATGGTGACGTAACGTAAAAAGCGTCATATCAGCGTTTTTTTGTCGGCTGTAATGTGGAGGACTGGGCACTAGAAAGACAAGGCATTAGAAAGTCTGGTTTTTTTTTTCAGATGAAAGCGCACTAGCATGGGCAGCTGAAACAAACCGAGTATGCTTATAGTTGAGACGGACGATTACTTTTAAAATCGCATTAAAATGACGGACGCCCTTAAAAGTGTATCGAGAGATCCCATCTTTTATAGTATAGATATTTGAGTCTAGTCTACCTTACGGTTGTTGGAAACAACTCAGCAGAGTAAATGTAAATCAATGAAAAGGCTATTTCATTGCTAAACCTTGCAACGAACATGGACATGAAGATTTTCCCAGCCATGTAACCTGGGTAAGGAAAAAATTTTAAATGATTAGCAATAACAAACATAACTCTTTATAAGTTTACGCTCAGATAAAAGCTTAGGAAGCCCATTCGAGGTTTTTTCAAGAGTCAAAAAAAAATGTTTTCTATGGTTAGAGTTCATGGCCGTACAATTCAGCCAATAGTCTAACTACTTACGAATTTTCCATCCGAAACGATGTGCGCATCTCAGTGCAGTGTCATGAACATTCGACTGGTCAGCTAAATGGCTAGTTAGTTTGGAGGGTTTAGAGACATTTCTAATTGCTAATTATTTACAAAATAGGTCCTATACGTAAATCAATTTGTGAGTGCTTCACCTTTATCGTTTTCAGCTTTGTCTGACAGTAGAAGTGTCCCGATTGCTCCGACAGCAGCTAATAGAAACGTTACTCCTATAGTCTTTCTGCGACCGAACCTGTTGAAATAACAGCAGGAAATTAGTAACATAATCGACAACTCAACAAGGATGTCGATGGTTAAACTGAATTTGATATCTATAAGCTGCTTCACTTAACCGCAATTTTGATTGAATCATCCTTTTCTAAAACTGGCAGCAGACTTAAATTTTTCTTGACTTATTAACATATTTTGCATGTAAACTAACCATTTTGTAACAATTATTGATATCTTGAAAATCAAAAACTTTTAAAAACATGAAAGAGACAGATAAGACGAAACAGATCTATAAAGTCTCTTGGATCCAATGGCAATACTTACTTCATCGTCAAAGCAGCACTTATTGGGTATGCTGGCAATGCAGCTATACTAGATATAAGGACATTGATGTAGATATTTCCCCCAACAAAAGGAGCACTGAAAGCTATGCCCCAGCTGATAAAAGATGCAGAGAACCTGTTCATGACGAGAGAAAAGATAAAAGGGAAAGAGAAATTAGGAAATTGGAGATAAACTAAAAACAATTACTGGAAAGGTATATTTCTGGAGGTAATCATGAAAACTGTTTTCAGGTATAATTTGAATTGAAAAACTCATAGATTACTTAGATTAGAAACCTTTGGTTTAATTGGGATATTCATGGTTCCCATAATTCACAAAAAACACAACATTCCATTAAATAAAAAGGTTTAAGAGCTATAACCACGGATTATGAATAATTCGCAAGGAGACAGGTTTGCCTTCCGGCTTTGATGCTTTCCTTTTTCAATTATTTTGCTCATTTTTGTCTTTGTCTAATTGCTAACTTGTTTGTTTGTTTGTTCATCTTGTTGTATGTAGCGTCTTACGTTGCTTCTCAGAGGACATTCCATCAGTTCCTATAAGCTTTAGGGGATCTCCCAGTACTATGAATATGTGTCATCTTCGGAACAAACTGAGAATAAAAGAGACTTATAAAACGGCGGATGCCATTACCTTGCCTCCCCCTCCCTCTTGCGTGACAATTATCATTACTTCGCAATTTAGAAGCACAGCATAAGCAAAATTTCTGTTGATTATCTCGTGTAAACAACTTGGTTCAACCAAATGAAAAGACAACTAAACTTTGTCTCTTTGGGTTGGGCACCAAAGCGAGTCTCATAAGATCACAAAACGGAGCGACCACTTCACTACTTACCACATTAACCAAGAGCATAACGTCTTGTGTATCATTTTTCGTGACACAAACAAATCTCGGAAGTCACCAAGCCTCTCATTCTGCTCTTCTTGTGATAATTCCAGTGACTCAGTAGGCATCTCTTTTCCATTAACCTCAGCTACTTTACATAGGATTACCCTGGCCTGATCCTCTCGACCTTTTTTTAGCAACCAGCGGACAGACTCTGGGATGAAACTGACGGGCAATAATGTTAACCCAAAAATCAATGAAGATGAGTCCTATTGATGATTTGAGATAAAAACTTTAGCTGATAATTTGGTTTTATCAGCTGAGTTGATGATGTGGATTGACCACCGAAGACAGATTCTAAAGCCGACGATTCGAGCGTTAGCCCTTCATCAGAGCAAATCGTCAGCATCAGAACCAGACAACTATACGATGGCCAATTCAGATTATCAACTCAGTTGTCCAAATTATCTTTTGATACCCTCCACCGACGCAACATTGTAGTTTTTTTTTTTTATCTTACCCCCATTAAAAGTAATTAGCAGTTCGTTTCTCTTCAAGAGATGGTGCGTGTGGGACGATAGCCTTTGAGGCTGAAGGTTAACATTTTGGTCATTTTACGGCTAACGGTTGAGGTGATTCCTTAGTATCGCACTGCGCATCCTGTACTACGTATAAAAATCAAGTAATCAGGCGAATAAGCGCGTGCATTCCGAGCAAACGACATTGTTTTTCAATCAATGGACCAGGTAAAGAGATGCTATGGGCAATGGCTCTTGAACGAGTACGGTGATGTTATCATACATCGGCAGAGTACTAAGGAAATGACAAGGATCGATTTTCCTTGGATATTTATCGTTTTCCCGAGTATTCTGATTTTACAGACTGAAAAACGTTACTCTCTCTTTTTCGCAGCAATCTTTGAATCTACGGCTATATCCATTTAATCACGCGACTTGCAAACACAAGCTCAGGGGAGTGGACTGTAATTTTCACCCAAAAAATTGCTTAGTATTTATCATTAAGTGCCATGGAAGGTTCTGTTTACTCACAAGTATCCAGCCGTAAGGAATATGCCAGGAACTCCAGTACATATAATGAGCTGACGCCAGTCTCTAATAGCATATGCTACCCCTGCTAAGATCATGGAGAACAGAAGGAATCCAATCCACACCAGGCCTCCTGCTACACCTCTGTGGCGAATTCCCGAAAACTCCGAAGTCAACACGAACATTGGAATGCTGTAAGCACCTGCATAAACGAAAACCAGCTTGTTGATGCCAGAGCAATTTTCAAAAGAGTGTCGCAAGTAATCCAAGATCGAACTGATTTTTATTTACTTTGCTCTGTGATAGGTCCGGAAAGAAAACTCGCGCCACTTTTTCAACCAATCAGAGGCAAGAATAAAACTTATCACGACTTGGTCGCACGCGTTTTCCCGCGCTTTAAGCAGTTTGGTTGTTTTGAGTTTGACTTCTCATTGGGTGTTATAGGTATTTTCCCTTCTTCTGATTGGCTGTTGTGGTTACTTTGGTTTTGGTTTTATGAGATTCAATCAAAAATTGCTCTAAAATACCTAAGTTTATTAACTGTAGAAGTACGAGCCTTTGCATTGCTCTTCTGACTTGGAATCTTTCCAGAATTTGACTTCTTCTTGTAATACAACTTCCCAGCCATTGTTATAAAAAATATACAGACAGCGCCTCTACGAGAAAAGTCCAGCGTAACCACACTGGTCCTCTCCACAAAAAAATTAGAATTTTTGTTTGTTTTATTACCACAAAATTTCATTATGGTTCCTGTTTCATTTGTTTCATTACGAAGAGATGATCTTCTCTTGTCTGAACTTACCAATCATGAATCCAACAATGCTACGACAAAGTGCAAAAAACCAGAATGCAGGAGAGAAGGCTGAGATGAGATGAACCACGCAGCAAATAAAACCGCAGAGGAAAAATGGGCGTTTCCTGCCAAACCTGTCAGAAAAGGTGCTCACAAGGATACTTCCAATGAAAAATCCGGCAAAGATCGTAGAGGTGGAAACAAACCCCAAAGACCCGCGTTCACAAACCAGGTCGAACTGTTAAGTTTAAAAAGACCTACTCATATTAGAAGAAATTCACTGTTGATGGATGTTACCAAATACTCATCGACAGATACAATTTTTTTCTTAGTTCTTTCAGGCTTTCCTTTGATGTAAAGTTGCCTTTACAACAAAATGAGTTTTAAATTTCGTTTGGCAATCAACATCGGATAGAACTAGGACTCCAAATCAAATTAGCAAGTTTCTTAGGGTGATAAAATTCAATTTCTCGCGTTTACCTCAGTGACAATAGAAGTGAAATCGTTCGCAAATTTCCAATCTTCCCTTGGAATATTACATCGGTACTTGTACCTCGTGTCTCCAAGACTTATGGTGTCCGTATAGGGGCAAGTCGATATATTTTTGCACTGCCAGCCGGGCTCCGATGCGATAAAGACAGAAGTCATTACAGGAATGGCCCACCATAATGCATAGGCAAGATTGAAAAATATGCTGAGGAAAATTTGGTAGCGACCGAAGCTACCAATCTGTTCCAAGACCTCGTCAGTGGTTATCGTCATTTCTAAAAGGTAAAAATTAGTATGCATTTACATCGAGTGCACTTCAAACATATTTTCTAGTTTTCTAAGATTTAGCCAAAGATCGAGGTCGATTATCAGTAGGATTGAACATTGTCGATGATATCTAACCTACGTGTGGGAAGCAGAGCAAATTACATTTGTTCATGGCCGGTCGGATAAACAATCGCTTGCCTATAACGTCAGCTCGCCATAATAAGACGCCTGCACTGCAGGCGGAGTAACTGCAGAATACCCTGCCACTTTGGTTCATCTCATTTAAATGTGACGTGAAGCTTTCAAGGACGAGACATAATACAATAGACGCTATTCCTATTCCATGACATGTAAAGGAGTGGCAGGGTATGCTGCAGTTTAGCCTTGCAGGCTACAAATTAGTGGTAGGAGTGACTGAAACCATTTGGTTATCATTTCGCTGCCCTTCTAGATCGGTGGAATAACTGAGGGTCGAGGGCTGCATACTCTGGCAAACAATAAAATTACAGCTCCAGTAAAAGTAGCCTGTGTTCTCTAAAATGAGTTTGCCAGCACATATAACAATATGCACTAGCTCCACTTACAGAAGAAAAATCAGAAATAACATTTTTGTGGCTCTGATCACTAAAAGCATACGTATAATCTCGGTGTGCATCTCTTAAGTTAGCTCTAGGAAGAAAGGTTAAACATTTCCATTTTAATCTTGCTCGACCACTTCGTTTTCGCTCAGAGCCAACAGGGCTATGTTTCGATCTTGCGGCAGGTATGATATGAGACTGCACAACGACAAGTGCCCTTGAGCAAGAAGTGTTCAGTTTATTGTGCTCACCTCATTTATAAAGATTCTTCCGCCTGTGTGATAATCCTGGTCCGCGTTGTAGATGATTACAGCTTTGATGGCTCAGGTTGATCTAAGATTTCCTAGTTTTGAAGATAATTATGCCGTGAGCGTCAACAGTCAGATACTGCTTATTGACACAAAGCCGCGAGGTCAATCAACTCTTCAAAAAGAATTCATTGACAGGCTTCTAACAAGCCTTGTATTATTATTCAAATGTGTCCCTCTGGCTTATTGTTTACGAAAACAATATTACAACTAAATTGCTAGCACTTCACAGCGAAGGAAGAGCACACAGGACTTGAAAAAAGTAAATGTTGAAACCGTGTTGATAGACTCAGTCCCTGTACTGGTTCCGAAAGAAAACACCAATAGCCAAAAACACATACAATCACAACGACATGAAATTCCAAATACCTTAAGTCGCCTTAAGTCGCCTTACGTCGCCTAAAGTCATCTAAAGTCACCCTAAGTCTCCTTAAATTTCCGTGGGTTGCTATTGGTTACGCAATGTCATAAGGGTTCCACCCTTCCCAATTGAACCTATCCACTCCACTCCAATCGGCGACTTAAGGTCCCAGGGTAGGCCTAAAGAGCGTAGTTTGGACAAACAAATTTTTACTTTCTCTCCCCTCCTTAAATGAATTTTCTCTCTCGCTTCGACTCCGTGAATCACTCGACGTGTTCTTGGCTGGTGTTTTATTTTAGAATCGATCCTTTTACAGTCTTTGTTGTGGGAATCAAATATCCTTATCGCTGGTTTTTTTGGGGGCTTTTGTCTTTTGTAAATCGGCTTAAGAGGATTTTGCAGCATTGTGCAACATTGATGAGGCATATACGTTCATTTTTCATAATTTAGTAGTTAATATTACATTGGCATTGAGACAGATTTGTAGAATAGCTGTAATCCAGATGGGTTAGCAAAATATGATAAAATAGCCATGTTCTTTTAGTTACAAAGAAATCCTAAGTAGGTTTTTAATGGTAATATTAAGGACGTGTTTTTGCGTTGTTATTACATTCGTTGCAGTTGGCCTGTGGTAGGAACTATGTTAGTTGTTCATTCTGACCCGTCTGCATTTTACACCAGAGTGTTTTTACTGCAATACTCTACAACTATTCAACAGAAAGCACATGCAGTCAGAGACTGCCTTTAACTGAGTACAATTTTTTCTATAGTTTGTCTCTGTTTCGCATGCCTCGCACGCCTCGCCGCACCATGAGTCGCCTGCCTGGCATGCGTAATGGCAAGACTCATTAATGAGATCCTGTGGCGAGCAATTCAAGCTTGAGAGCTTAGTGAAACCGTCACAATTAGAGAAAAAAGGGCAGAACTCGGCGAATTTGGCTGACTAAAAATAGTAATTTCGCAGTACTTGAAGTAAACTTTGCTAAAATAGTGAAACAGATTTTCCTTTATCATCATACTTTAGGAATATTGAAGAAGAAGCAGCAGTAGACTTTCCAAAATTAGCCTTTTTGGGAACTTTTAGTATGAGAGGAGACATTTATTAGGATTCGGTCTCACTTTTCTTCAAAAACGAGCAGCAACCATTGCACTCATTACTGAAGCAGCTTACTAAAGATACACGTCTTCTCTGTGTATGGGCGTTTTTGTGTCCTTATTGAAGGTCAAAAATTAAAGTTGTAACTTGAAGGATTGAAATCTTAACAATGGTTGCCATGATTGAAAAATGCAGTCACCTGCAGCTGTAACGAACGGTCTATAACCTGACATGTAATTGAACACGCGTAAATCTAAAAGAGAACTTGTAAATTGCGCTTGAAAAGAAAGAAGCATGAATCCAAATGCGAAAATAGCGGAGGGAAATGTTGAAATGTTTGGACCAGGAGCTCCCTTCAGAGCTCAAAGAACTCCTGCTCAAAACTTTACTCCTTCAAATGGTTGATGGTGACGATCATACCTTTTCAACGGGATCTTTTGTGAGAATGGAAGAAGACAGAGAGGAGTTATAAGAACTGAGTCGGCTATAGTTCAAGCTAACGGTCAAGCGATCGTTTTGAAGAATCTGCCTTCGATTGTGTCGCAAAGAAACTGATCTATAAGACTGGGATATTCTGGAAGTAAATAAAAGGAGAACGAAACGGCAAAAGAAGAACCAAGAACAAAGCCGATACTTGGACAATGCTTTTGCTGTATTCTCAAGAAATTGATCACAAAAAAACTATCTGACATTGACACGCAAATGAAAGAAATCCATAAGCAACCTCGAAACCAGATCCTGAAAATTCAGGCCACAGTGGAAGTGCAAGCAGTGAACTGGTACAAGCAGCAGATAGAGTAGCAGAGGGAAAAACACTAAGACATGGATTTCTGCAACCTGACCGATCAACTTTCGAACATGCAGTAAGTGCGTTACGAAGTTGTTTTATATGCTTTATTTGGCTGAGCGATTAATATATATGTTTATTTTGTTTTAAAACATTTTCTTTTTGTGTCGTCCATTTCTGTCTGTAATCATGCTCATGATTGTCAAACCAGACTTCCGCTTCGCGGCTGCCCAATTTTGTTAATCACTCGTATGATTACAGACCGAATTGGACTCAACTCGGTCCTATTACCATTACTAGCAGAATGGAAGTTTCCTGAAGTCTCGCCGGTCTTCAAGTGCTTGAATTTTTACTGATTTTGTTGTTGATGTTCATCGTTCCCGTAAATTTGTTGTCAGTAAAGCAAAGATTTCCTTCACTAAAAATTTCCACAATTAATGGGAATTTTTTTTACCCATTGAATAGTGCCTCTCTAAAAAAGGTGAAAATCGTCGGGGATGATAAGGGAAAAAAGAGAAAGGAAATCTTGTCCCAGCCCCAGGAGTAAAAACACATGCACTACAGAACGAGCAGGCCAGGGGCCCGTTTCTCAAAGGTCCCGGAAACTTGAAGTTAACAGGCCTGTTAAGCTGTTTTGTTTTCATTCAAGGTGGGGGTTTCAAAAGTTTTGAAAATTATACAATAAAACTGTCAGGTAGAGAAGCAAAATGGATTAGTTGGAATGCCAGAACCAGTGTCTCTATTTTTAAAATTTTGATTGTTTTAAATTATGCCTTCGGGCCCGTTAAGCTACCAGAAATTTCGAGAAACGGGTCTCTGGTTTGACTGCTGATTTGGTTTTTCGAGCTTCTTCCTCCCTCCATCGTAAAGCATCTTATTCTTTCTTGGTCGGCAAACTCAGTCTCAATTGACAAACTTTGTGACAAGCTGAAGGCGATTGGAAGATCTGATGCAAGGAAAGTGCTTGATGAATGGGTCAAGTGACAAAACTGCAAATGTGTAACCTGCAACAGCTAGAGCTACTGTACGCACGCCAACAAGTTTTTCTTTTAAGAGGGAGGGGGTGGGGGCTGGGAATGTTATAAAAAGAAAAAAATTCCAGTTAGCAACTCGGAGTAGAGCTTTTAATGAAACAAACAAAAAGTTGTTCGGGCTAAAGATTTCAATTACTCGTCACCAATTTTTGTGAAAATTATTTCAGAAAATTTAGCTTTTCACTTATATCTTTAAGTAAGCGGTTTCGTTATTTCATTTTAATGATTCATGGTGACCATGACCCGAGTGCACCTCTTTAGTATACTTAACATTGTGACAGATAAGTTTTTGAAACCTGCTTGAAGCTTGTTTGCACTGTTACCACTCAGTAGAGACCCGAGTTAAAAACCGGATTCTTACAGGTTTTGGGATCTTGTACAGTTCGACAATCTGATGAGGCACCGAAGAAAAGACACAAGCTTTTACATCACCTTGCAGAGTTAAATGACACAAAAGTGAATAAACGTAACCTTGTATTTCCAATCGGGAAAGATCTAACAGAGGCCCAACTCATTGACTGGGCAAACTCAGTCTCAATTGACAAACTTTGTAACAAGCTGAAGGCGATAGGAAGATCTGATCTGAAAGTGCTTGCACCAAAAAAAATGAATGGAAAAATTGTTTTTGACGGAACTACGACAAACCTGTTGTTGCAGGCGAAAGCATCAGCTGAAGAGCACCAGTTTCATCATGCGCACGCCAACAAGTACAATGTCATTTTGAAGGATGGATGGGGTGGGGGTCGGAATACTATGATGCGAAAAGTTAAAACCTTTTTCCAGCGAGCAACTCAGGAGTTGCGCTTTTATTTAAATAAACAAGTTGTTTGGGCTGAAGATTTCAATTACTCGTCACCAATTTTTGTGAATATTATTTCAGAAAATTTAGCTTTTCACTTGTTTCTTTAGGTAAGCAGTTTCGTTATTTGATTTTAATGATTCATGGAGACCATGACCCGAATGCAGCTCTTTTGTGAACATACTATTGTGACAGGTAGGTTTGGAAACCTGCTTGAAACTTGTTTGCATTGTTACCACTCAGTAGAGACCCGAGTTAAAACCGGATTCTTACAGGTTTTGGGATCTTGTACAGTTCGACAACCTGATGAGGCACCAAAGAAAAGACACAAGCAGTTCCAGCAGCTTGCAGAGTTCAGTGACACGAAGTAGAGCTTAGTGACATGAAAGTAAATAAGTACGTAACCGAATAATAATACGATGGAAGCGCATTAAAGAAACGTTAAAATCAAGGATTGCGTAGCTGCAGTTGGGGACTATCCCCTCCTTTCACCCCAAAAACTTGTCATCCCCTCAAAATCGTGCTCCTCACACAGAGGCCTGGAAACAAGGATAGTTGTTAGTTCACTTCGTCCAAAGAGAGGAAGGCAGAAATGACTTCCCAGAGGAACGAACAAGAGAACTTGCGGACTTCGATTTTCTCGATCGAATTATCTAAAGGTCCGCGCTCTCCTCCTATGAGAAAAGGAACAGCCTTCACAGTGAAACTGGATGGATCATTTTCAACCTATTTGATGACTAGTTGCTCAGTGGTTGAACGAAGTGGAGCAACTTCCTCAAGCAGGCTAACTTGTAAGCGATTTGGTCAGTCTCTTCCGGAGGAGAAACATCCTATAAACCCAGATTCAGCAGAATCTATAAAAATGGAAGAATTCTGCTTTATTCCTTACGAATCGCCTTCGAACTTAAAATTAATCAGCGCCGATAAGCTGTGCAAAGAGGGAGAAATGATGACGCGGAAGTCTACTTGCAAATCATTTACATTCTTAGGAAATTCCTTCACCATCATGACTTGGGAATTCAAAAATGATGAAGAGACTTATGTTTTAACCGGAATTGATTCTGATGTGGAGCTTGTTGCGAGTTCTTGCAGGGGATCGCCTGTAGTTTCCATCGACGATCTACGGACGGTTATTGGAGTGGTGACCTGCTCGTCAAACGGAGACCTTGAATTGCTCTTCCTCGAAGCAAACTCTCTACGTGAAATAGAAGGTAGGGATGTGCTTTAATGTAATTCTTAATGTTAATTCTTAGGGAAAATCCCCCTTTGAAATTTCCTGTGAGGTCTTCAGTGACAATGAAATATATGGTTTGAATTTTTTGGTTCCTTCGACCTCAATCCATCCTCCCCAGTCAGTGTGATGCTTGGCTGGCTGGCGGTGAAGGTACGTTAGTTGTAAACTTACGGTCGTTCTTTGACTTTTGTATGCAACCACATTAATCGAGAACAGGGAGTCACACTTATCTGAAGGCTTCTCTCAAAATGGTTCAGGTAGCGGTACAAAATTTTCGCCTACTTGCAGGGAAAAACAAATGCAACATAAGTTATGGTTAAAAGCAACTGGAACGAATTTTGAAGTTTTGAAGTTAAGTAGCCTACTTAAAAACTATCTAGTGTTTGGCTAATAAATTTGCAATATTGGGATAATTTTATCAAAACTTATCAAAACAATGCTGACTTCATCGATGATTTTCATTCTAGGACAACTTAAAGCCAGATGTTCAGATGACAGGGGAATTGATGTTACAGACTCTCCCTTAATTGTACGTGGTCCACCATCATCTGCGTCTGCCCGTCATCAACAAAATACACATCCAGGTACAGTTTTCGCTGTGCTAGTAGAGCTAAGTTTACGATCACACACTTAATGAATTCAGTGAATAATTTTAGTTAAGCTATACTGAAAAAGTAAATATGACCAGTTCAGTTGGGCCTAAATTATTCTCCTCCCTGAGCCCTTTTTACACAGTCTTAACCTTGGGAAATAGTATTTCATTGCGAGTTTTATTGAGCTAGACAAATAACACTCTGGGATCTATTCGTAAACAGAAACCAAAGCAGAGAGAAGTTTTTTTTATTTTGATTGTATTGAAAGATGTTAAGATTGATTTTAACGCTGAGATAGTAGATTTAGATGACATTAAATGTTGGTAGAGTGCCTAAAGAAAGTTTACAGATCACTCTTCTTTTGCTTTTGGCTTACAAGATCCTCGAGATGTGTACTTATGCAGCAACATAAGGCAGTTTAATTGATATGAAGTGCATACAAATGTTTTGGGTTTGTAGATGTACAAAAAGATAGCTTTTTGACCAATCAGACTGTCCATGATACCTTATCTAAACAAAAAATATTGACACATCAAGATGACTATCAAAATATTGAAGCTTATATCTGCAATTAGACCTATAGGGGTATTAAAATGAAACTTAATTTTTAATATCACATTTAATTTGTGGCAACACAATTAACAGAAATCTTAATTTCCCTTTTGTGTGCAAAATAATTTGCAGATCTGATTTGTTAATAGTGAATGTTATTACAATTATATTCTTAACACCGTAAATATGTGCCGTAACATTCTGGAACAATATTCGTGTTCAAAAAACAGTTAAAAGTATACTTACAACTTTTGTTATCTATACAGCTACCATTATTTTGTGAATAAATTATTCCTGCTTGATTGTTTTTTTCAAAGGAAATGTGGTTGTTAACTTCTAGCACACACATAATTGTTCTTAGTAATTTAAACTTAGTGATTACTGTCTTTTTACATACCAATACACAGAAGATACTGGAACTAATGCCCAAACATCATCTGAAGGTTTAGAAAGAACTCTGTCAAGTGAGCCAGTTCAGGGTAAGAATTTTACTCATATTTTTTACTAGGACACTGGTTCTTCATCAGAGATTTTTATATCTGCACTACCTGCAGGTTTATTTGACAATTTGGTGGTGTTTGATCTGTATGTATTTCTTTCAAGAAGACTGGACCTTCATCACCGATTTTTTTAAAAATTGTGCTACCTGCTGATTTATTTAGCATACAAGTGGTGGTATTTGATCTGTTCCCCTTTTAGGATTTGAATAGGTCACAGAGAACCTGGAAAGTCTCAGAATTTCATTGTATTATTTCTGAGGCTTGGGAAGTCATGGAATTGCAGTTTTGGTCATGGAATATCAAGGGAAATGTCTTTCTGTGAACTTCAAATTTTGTCTATGGAAATCCTTTACTTTGTACAATTGTTGTCACTCCCCTGACACTTATTGAAAGCAAGGTTTTCCTGTAGCTGAAGAATTAAATAAATGATACAATTAATTTAACACAGGATTTTCTTGACATCTAGAGACAGCTTCATGCAAAACACAGGCTTATTCCCAAGAAGGAAAACCTGGAGAAAGCAGATGCATTTGGGATAAACTGTTGCAGTCTGTGGAATCTTCTCAAGATTTGATGAATGATTTGAAGTTACATCTGGACCCAAAGAGGGATCTTGGTGGAGATTATTGTTCATTAGCAAGTGCATTTGGAAAAAACATGAAGTATATATGGTTTATGGAATCAAAACCAAGTCCTTTTGAGCAACTGATAAAAGATTGCCGTCCGACTTTAAGAGAGCTCAAAAATGCATTAAATAGTAATATGGTCAAAAGAAGAGATGTTTCAGACATAGTGGAGAATTGGGTTGAAAAGGAGGGTTGTGAGTGTCAAGAATGTTGTTGTATTCGTTAGGGTTTGATTCTTTCTACTTTTCCTAAGATTCTACAGTTTTCCTGTGGGTGAGTAAACCACACTGTTTATGGTTACCTTTTCATAAAAAAAGGAGGACTAGATTTCTTCTGGAATCACAGGAAATTACACCAGTCCTATAGATAAGGCCAAATTGATATTTCCAAAGTTAACTATTTGGCCACTTTGTGTCCAATCATCCATGTAACTTTTGCTGATGCATTGCCTTACTTTTTACTTGCACAAATTTGTCAAAACTGTGGCCAGTGCAGTTGCAGAGCTCAAAGTATAGATGAAAAACAACAATGCAAGGGATAATGATGAATGTAATTTTTTAGTGTCTTTAAAAGATGAAGCAAGAAGGTGTAGCTTATGTTTAATCCACTTTATCTTTAACAGATGTCTTGAAATATGCTGCACTATTAGTGTTTTTAGGCATGTATTTTTGCTAAGTATTTATAGTTCTATACTTATTTTATTCTCTGTAAATTAGGAATGAGGGTAAATATTGTTGTGAAACTATTAAAATTTATCTATCTGAATAGTTCTAAGTTCAATGGAGTTTTTTTTTTATTCTAGCAGTAAGTTCAGAACTACTCCTCTGTTTACTCTGTGGCTTGCCAAAACCACTGCTAGCAGAAACTATTAGAAAGTAATTGCTTTTAGTAAAGTAACCAAGACACTGTATCTTCAGAGTAGTCACTTAATATGGTGAACCAGAAAACTGACTCATATTAGGTAGCAATCACGGCAAACAAAGTTTTCAGTTGTTGTAATTGTTGTTTTTTGTAATGATAGCATAACAATCTTCTTAGGTTGTGTGCTTTATGCATCAATCAATTTGATGCTTCAAATTGAAAAAAGGACATGGTCAGTTTTACCAACAAGAAGAGATCTCAACACAAAGATGAACTGTAACACTAAACTTTATTATTCACAAAATTGTCTTCATAATAAATAGTTTGATAGAAGTCTCTCAAAAAATAATTTGTCATACAATGTGATGGTCTGAAGGATTCCTTATCAAACAAATCTTGTGGTAACTGTAACAGTATAAAATAAATATCTCAATTGGGATAGATTTCTCAATATTTTTTAAAGTATCTTTGCAAATAGAAACATACATCTCAGAATTATATTATCATAACATTGGTTAACACAATGCAACAAGAACTACTATAATGGCAGTTTTATAATTTGTGTGAGAAGGCCTCTGACCACTATGAATGTAAATATCAATTCACTGAATGTTAATCGCTGACAGATACTAAAATGTGTCAAAAGGACAAGTATTGTTGAGATCAGTAGCTGAGAGGAAGCATTTCTGTCCTTTTCCTTTATAGCGCTTTAACACCCAAGATCTGATTGTTAATCCTCCCTTCAAGCTGCTACACATTTAGTTGTAAATAAGTCATGAGAATTTGATTAAAGATCAAGATAACTTCTACCTGGTAAGTTTCAGTATTCTCATTACCTGTTTGCTGGATAGTGTTCAGATATTATAGGGAGAAGATACAAGTGTTTAATATTTTGGTCTGATTCTTTCACTGCTGTCTTGCCACCTAATAAATTACCATGAGTTTACCAAACTGAAATTGTTTTCAATGTATCACATGCATAATTTGTCCAGAGCCAGATGGGTATCAAAATATTGTGACATCTGTTAGTTACCTATTTCCCACATGGGTTGATAGAAAGAATGGTTTCAATTAAGTGGACAGGCTCCATTGTGTAGTTTCTCCTAAGAAACAAATGGCGGACTAAAATACATCTTGGTAATCAAAACGTGAACAACTTTAAATGAAGAATAAGGTACAACAATAAGTACCACATCAACAACAACAGCCATAGCAAAGCTTTGTTGATTGCATGTGCAACACAGATATACAACAAACATCTTATGTAGCCCCTTCATTAAGGGATGTTTTTGGTCAAACACACTTGCAAAAGTAAGCATGCTGTAGGGTTTGCTGAGCAGTCAGTCGGTCAAAATCATCTGTGTCAAGCAAGTCACCAAGAACAGCCAACAGATCTGCATCCTGCCACAAAATAGAGCACATGATCACTCAGGAAACTCCTCCTCTCTTCATGACACACCCAATGTTCTGGTAAGGGAGAGAGAGTGTTGCATGACCACAACAAAAAGTGGCTGCAAAGGAGACTGCATAAAAAGACAGGAAATCATGCAGGAAAATAGGGCAGTTCATCCAAGTTTGGGAGAAAGATCTTTGGTGCTCTAAAGGAGTACCTCTGATGGCACCTCATGTTTGTGGGATGTTTTGGGGTTCATCAAGAAATTTTCATGCCCGAGCAATGAAAAAAATGCTATAAACCTAACACAATCAGAGGAATCAAGTGAAGCATCTATGAAAGAATTACATTAAATTTTGAAAAGATAAAATTGCAATGAATTAATGGGATGTAGAAGGCATTTTAGGTCAGTATTAAAAATCAAGATAATACAATAATGTTTACTTTAATATTTACAAACCTCAGTCAACTGAGAGAATGTTGTTGTGGAATCCTTATTGGGAAAATTCATCTGCAATGAAGACAATATAAGTGCTCCAATTAATTTATAAGTTTGCTCCCTCAACTTAGAAAACTATACTTGTTCATACCAAAACAAAATTTAACACCAACAGGCGGCCTAATTGTATTTTGAGGTCACTCCCAGGAGTGATCAAGAAGGAATTTCTCCTCTTGATATGAATGAATACACTTTCAATGAGAGGGAGACAAAAATATTAACTAAGGAATATTTTCTGATGGAAAACAAAAATCTCTGAGATAAAATTACAAGAAAAGGTTAGCACACTGTGCAGAGAATTGATAAGCAGAACTTGAGTGAAACAGGCTGAATGGTCATTGAAAGGTTGACTGAAAGGCTGAAGGCACTGGCTACTTTTTCTGTAGAAGATTTGTTGCTGCTTTCAAAATCTTATCAAAAAGAGATTAAAATGGCTTTTAACGAATGAACTTCCTTAACAAAGGAAACAACATTTTGTTGTGTGAGCATCTTGATTTTGAGGAAAACATTTAAAGCTGTCAGGAGATTAAGAAAGAATGCTCACAACATTTTAAACCAACCTTCACAATTAACTCTCCAAATAATTTCATATCTTGTGATGGGCTAGATTGCTTGAAAAAAGAATTTTTAATGAAATAAAACAATTAGTAAATCAAGAAACTCCCTGGCAACCTTGCCTTAAAGGTGTGACTATTACAAGTACATGTGGGAGTGTATCACTTCTTAAATCAAGCCAGCCTGATACCAAGATACACACTGTTCCTTGGGTATTACCGTAATTTCCGGTCGATTACCCGCACGGCCGATTACCCGCACCGGCCGATTATTGCATACGGCGAAAAAAAAAGTCAACGGATTACCCGCACCGGTGGATAACCCGCACGTTGTTATTCAACTTTTTCGGTGGCGAAAACGTGACATTAAGGCGATACATTTCAGTCTTTCGATTCAGACATGTGCACAATTCTGTGTCAATATTAGCTTATACTTTATTGATTGATTATTGCTGCTGCTCTATTACCGATTTCATCGGCAAGAGTTATTACTCTAAGCTTATAATCAAACGTAAAACTGTGACGTGGGCGTTTCACAGCAGGCATTTTAACTTAATTGGTGACTCGTGGATACACTTATCGCGAATGATCGAGGTTTATAATTCTAATTAACTAATTATGCGTGAAATAAACTCGAGTTGGCATCATGTTTTCGTGCCGCTTTGTGGCACTTTTGATACAATAAAATTCATTTGAGAGGTGGAAACGCAGGTAGGTGAGAAATTTTTTCAATTCAACTTCCAGAAGAATTTAAAATTGTCACATAACCCGCACCTCCCTATTACCCGCAGTGGCGCGGATTTAATGCAAAATCAACAGATTACCCGCGGGTAATCGACCGGAAATTACGGTAGGTGTTGCACAAAGTTCTGTGGTTAATGTGCACAATTCTCCTGCTAGATTCCAACAATATTAACCATGTTTTGATTCATATGTGGAGAATAATTCTCTCATTTCTTTGTACTGTTCTTCTCCCACTAATTTCTGAACATCATCACTTTTTTCTAATGAGAGAACAATTCAACCATGCATTACACTTGGTAGGGAAGGCACAAGAGCTTAGTGCAAAACAAAATGACTGCCCTTAGCTTTCTCACTTTGAAAGACCAAAAGCCTATATTCAATTACACAGGGCTAGTGTTTATGTCACAGATGAAAGATTGTATGTAACCCTGTTTTGTTGACTATTCTTTATTTAAAATTCTACACCACAAAAGTATCAAATACATGCAAATTGAGTTGATTAGCATGTTGTCACCACGAGACAAAATTTAATGCTTTCAACTGTGAAATATATCAATATTAATAAGCAAATACTTACTGTATTAATAAATGGGTAAAAATCTAGGACTCCTCTGTACTCTCCAGACCTTTTCTCAACAAATACACTTTGGAGGTGTATACAACCATGGAAAATGTTTTGTGAGTGCAGTGAATTAAGAGCCTCAAGTATGTCCCTCAGAACCAAAGAAATACCCTGCAAGTACAGATGCACAAGACATACATGAGTGCCGTAACAAATAATACTGTTATTAGTTATATGTTATCATAATAATAATACATGGAAATCACCTCAAATAAAATGTGGAGTTTTTCTTCATTCCTGAAATGAACTTAGAGTCCTTTTACAATATCAATATAACATCTATATATCAGACTGAAAATTAAATTAAGCAATGCCATTTTTTCTCTCAAGGAGACAATAACATGTCTGTTAAAAATAACACTGATCAAGATAGACAGTCCTTTGAGTATCACATGCTTTTTGTTTCATTCTCTTCTGACAATGGCCCCTTCAAGTAAACCTGCCACCTTTCTGACACCTAACAAGTATTTATATAGTTGGGGTAGTACATGACTTGAGAGCGATCTCCCTTTTAGCACTGACACATTTTGTGTTTACCTCAGGTGAACACTCT